GTATCTTTAGAAATCATGTCCTCAATTGTATGGTCCTTAGGGCGTAATTAAATTAAGCTAATTACGGTCTCTAATTGCTAGTTTTTATGATTGCATCTGAAATTGTTAGGCGAAAGTAGCCTGCATGCCAAATTTCAGATCTATAGAGTAATCAGAAGTGGGCTAATTTTCGATGTCAATTTTAACAACAAACATCCAAACAACCAAACAAACGCGAAGCTGAGTTAAGAAAAACGTGTTAATATACTTTTACCAATATCCGCCCCCTTCCCCCGTATGCCCTTCCCCCTCTCCAGGGTAAAAAAAAAGACAGAAAGAATAACTTGTAGAATTTGTAGATCCTATTTCTATAATCTAGACCCGTTTCCTACTTGGCTGCAAAACTTCACTCCCGCAGAAAGTGTTTCTTTCAGACATTTTTCTCGGGATGGAGCACTTGAATTTTTGCAGGGGCAATAAAATTCTCCGAGCGGGGAAAAAATACATATTTTCTATATAGGCCTACATTATATTTCGTTTGGTGCGGAGGCGGGTGAGGATAGACGTTCAACCGAAGAGATGCATGAAAGAAACTTTGCACGTAAATCACTTTTAAGATTTGAATAGACAAATGATTTAGGCGACAATGTCAATGTTTTTATTATCGGGTATCGATGACCTCAGCATTGCGTATTTTCTCGGCATTGGCTTTTAATTTTGTTTACTCTAGAATCAATGACGTCATATTATTGTGTGTACTTTTATAATATTTCCTACTTTAGAATATTTCCTACTATATGTTCCATGTGACGCCATATATATATATATATATATATATATATATATATATATATATATATATATATATATATATATATATATATATATATATATATATGTATGTATGTTTATTAGAGGGTTGCTGCAAATGTATTTCGGGGGTGAGGGCGTTTTTTTTTCTAGTTGCGCCACTAGTTTGTGCACTAACTATACCCCAGATTGCTGGACATTTTTCTAAGCCAATCTTTACACACGATGAATCAAACCGGTCTACCAGACAGCTGATCCATCATGGTCGCTTCGCACACGACAGACCACGTGCCAGCGAAAAAAAAATGAACTCAATATGAAAAGTGATTTAACTGGCCACGGAAGGACTGACCAAGTCGGTTTTTTAACCGGCTACGAACAGAGGCGTAGCGAGGGAGCATAGGCGTAGTAAGGCAACTTTCGTCGACCCACTTGATTTTTATAAAGATCGAACCCTAAAATCCAGCCTCCCCCTACTTCGTAACTAATAATTTGATCTTTTCTCTTTCCGTGCCATACAGTAAAATCGACTTCACATTTAGCTATAGATCCTGATTGAATTTTTTTTACAATGCATTTGAATTCCACATTGTCTTAGAATGTTAAAACGCGTTTACCGCTGCTGTTTCAAATCAGAACGTCATGGGCGTCAGCTACTATCATTAAACTGGTTATTACAGCTTCTTCAACCAGTACAATTAGTTCTGCATATGTTGTTGACTATGTATGAGAAGACGGTGCACATCTGATAAATCCAAGACTTCGAGCTGTTATTGTTAACATCCGTTGAATTCCAGTGTTTTCTTTAGCTTGTTTCGTTATACCATCAACCAGTCAACGAAATACCCATGTCGTATTCCAATGCTTACAATAAATGTTTCTGATAAGTTGCTCTTGTAAGTAAAGTTTCCTTTCAAACATGACGGTCTGTGGGGCAAGTGAAGTAGAGTTCACTTGTTTCTGTAGCTCGGCATTATGAGGTCTTGGATGTCACTTATATGTACTTATTCTAGCAAACTTATAATCCAACTTTGTACCATATCACAACATACACTGTTCCAATGATAAAACTTGCTGGTCTAAACAAAATAGCCCTAAATACAAACCACACTCTAACTCAGATTAGGCATAATTTTTTTCTGACATTAATTAATAATCTTTTGTAAAAAAAAACGCATCTTAATGGGAAGTTAATTGGCGTCGAGTAAAGTTTTAAGGAACGAAAATCATAAGCTGTAATTATTAAACATTTTCCAGACTGTCGCACACACGCTTACACACATATATTTATTTATATATATACGCACACATACATATATATATATACATACATACATATATATATATAGTTGGCCCCGAGCGCCGGGAGGGGTTGCTACGCCTCTGGTGTTAGTGTTCCTTAACTCTATATTTTGTGAATAATTTCAACTTTAACAAGGCTAAAAGTTATGACAAATAAATGGCTAGTCTTACACCTACCAGGATAAGTGGAAGCGGTGGATGTGAGATGCTTATTATCATTGTGCACATATATTAATGGTCAGTGTTCGTGTGCAGATGTATTTGCACTTAGCATTCAGCTTGGAAATAAACCCTTATTTAAGCCCTTAAAAAAGAAAGTCTACGAAAAGAACTTTGCTAGGCCTAAGCCCTCTATGTTGACCGTGATTATTGATTACATATTTTTATAATTGTGAAAAGCAACTCTTAAGATTTTAAGTTTAAGGGTGAGAATTCAAGACTAGCAATCTATTTTGCCTACGTAGGTGGATTTAATAATCTCAAGTGTATTTTGGTGTAGCCCTACAATCTCGCGAGAATTGTAGAACCAGCTATGTATAAATACATATTTATGACATTTAACATATAGGTACGCCGACTGAGGCATTCTAAATAAATGAGCTTTTAAATGCAAAACTGGTTCTAGTTCTAGAGACTAATAATTATTTCGACAAAAAATATTTTCTTTATGTGACCCTTGCACTGTTCTAGTTCTAGCCACCATTGCATTGGAAATAAATTAGTCACATACACAAAAACTAATCACCCGTTAAGAGCTTTGATTATTCTGTATTTCGATATAGTCAGCTCTACTATAGGTGTCGTAATTTGTTTATTTTTAATTTTTTTTTTTAAATGACGCATTTTCGACAAGATTTTGAACCCCTGCACTCTTCTGATCAAACGTGTTTCAAACGTACTTGTTGTATAGTCATACACGTTACTTAAGAAGCGTTGTTCCCCTACATTTTGATATACTTATAGATCTAATATATAATTAACTTTTCGAGTATGCTCTTTCATCTGATATTTTTGGTGATTATTTAAAAATGAACAAAATGTGTTTTTCATTTTTAAAAATAGTAGAGTTCCCTTTTCAAACCTGACGGTCTATATGGCAAGTGAAGTAGAGTTCACTTGTTTCTGTGACCTCGGCATATGGAGAGATAGTGTGGTCAGCATTATGTCCAGCCGCCTTGACTTTCCCTAACGTGGGTTAGGTGGACTCAGGGACTTGTGACTTACGGGTTAGCAGTCCAGATCACTACCGCTAGACCACCCCGTCACCTGTGTTTTTACTTCCCTTTTTATTTTATCAAAAAGTGAGTACAGCCAATTTCAATGCAGTTAATTAAAAATTTAAAAGTACTGAAAAACAATTCATAAAAAACGTTTTAATAACAAGCTTTTATGTAATAATGCACTAAAAAGTAAGCAATGTAGAACATGAATTGACTAAATACACTACTATTTAAATACCTTTAAAGAAAAGCGTTGGTCTCTTGCTAAATATTAGTAAAGGTATCCAAGAGATACTAGACTAAAGGTATCCTAGAGATACTAGTGCATTATTAGATAAAAGCTGGTTATTAAAACTAAAACGTTTTTTATATTAAAAAATGTCAGTACTTTAAATTTGTACTTTCTCGTATATAGGAAGTAGGACTAGAGTCTTGTAATCGTACCAAAAAAAAATCGAGATTTTTCTAAATCTCGACGTTTTACACCTCCCTGAGTCGGAAAAAGTTTTGCAATCTAGTCCTTATGTCTGTGTGTGTATATGTGTGTTTGTGTCGGTGTGTGTAAACACGGTAACTTGAGTACCGTCACAGCTAGATTGATGAAATTTCATATATAAGTTATTAAGTATTACATCAAAATCGTAGATCCGTATAAACTTTTGAGCTACTTCCGATAACCGGAACGTTTTCTACTTTGAATTTTTCAAAAGCCTTTAACTTGAGTACTATTTCAGATGGAAAAATGAAATGTCACATGTAAGTAAAAGAAAAAGATCTAATTCTCTGCCTTCTATCAAATTTTGACTAATTTTCGTTGACCGGAAGTACTAATTTACGCTATTTCCGATTTCTCAAAAAACGCATGTGAATTTATAAAGAACTAATAATATTCCGCACTATTTTGCAAATTTTATATGACGTTCACTTGGTGTGCAATTCTTTTTTCTACGAGATTTTATTCTATTTTAAAAAGTTAAGTATTTAAAATGGATTAAAAGTCTATATCATAGTATATCCCGAGTTGCCATTCCCTGTTGTTTCAAATAAGAATAATCGAGAAAGTTTAGGGGAGATCACTCCCGGTTTATTTAAATAGCTGGGGTTTTTTCAACAAGAAAGCTAAGTCGAATATTTGTCAATGTTTTTCTACTAGTACTAGCTTTAATTTTAATAACTTTTTTGTTGATCTAATTTATCTTTCATAATACGTCTCTTTTATTTTTATGCATTAATTTTAATACAAAACTGAATATTAGAATACTTCAACTGACCGTGAAATTTCCTTCAGAACCCCACTCACGAGGAGCAGTCTCTCCCTCAAAGAGAAGCCAGATAGAAACTCTTTTGACTCCTTTAAAGTTTTCTGCGATTAATAGTCTATTTCGTTCGGAGGGCAAACAGACACATACGGACAAGATTGCAAAACGGTTTTTCAGACTAAGGGAGGTGTATAACGTCAACATTTGCAAAAATGTCAATTTTTTTTTTTGCACTAACCATAACTGGCCTCAACAATCTCTGAAACAGCAAGGTTAAAGTTAGAAAATAATTTTAATGTTTTATGGGGGAATGCAGTTTACCAAAAAAAAAAAAAAAAAAAAAATCCCCCAAACTTTCACTTTCATAATAAAATTAAAATATTAAGTCATGCTAAAAGAATGATATAACAAACAAAAAAAAAGGAAGACATTTTCGCCAGTGAGCCAGAAGTATTTTGCGCTCCTTTATTCCGTGTGCCCCTATGGACAGACGTGACAATTATCTCTACTACAAACTCATGACAAATAAAAGAAAACACTGACACTAAAAAAAAAAAAGTGAACGACTGATGAATACATCTACTGCTACCTGATAGTTTTAGTTACATTACAAGTCGTTTTCTCTCAAGCAAATTCAGCCTAACAATACAACTATGTTACCCTATCTATGAGGGAAACAAGAAAGCAAGCAACATTACAACTGCCCAATATTTACAATGACAAATAGATCTGCAAAACCAAGATTGTGCAATGGTATTTAATTCCAAGCACTGTTTATGTCAATGTGACTTAATTTATAAAATTCATTACTAATACTAGACAATTTTGAATTTCATTGCAGTTAAACAAAATCAACTGGCCTTAATGGTGGTGTAACATTTCATGTACATGTCAAGTTGAGCATGTTGCAATTCTTGATTATATATGGAAAACTTAAGTCTGTTCACTTTCCGTTTCCTTCACACCCTATGGAGGTTGGCAGACCGGTAGTAGAGGCTGGAGGTGGAGGGGAGGCAATGGCTCCATAAGCTAAACTAGATCCTCTGGTATTTAGATGGGGTTAGTAGTGGCAGATGACCATCACTATACCCATCCAATGAATTTAAATATAAAAAGCAGTTAGTTATACAGGCAAATAAATTATTCTTAGCCTGTACAACTATAACCACATTGGCATAATCCTATCGCCCGGTCAACCTTAAAGTCATTAGCTTGAGAATGATCTAGTCAGTTCAAATGAATGGATGCAAGACCTTGAAGCTCATAACGTTTTATATTTTCAAAAACTAAACCTGGACCGGACCAAAAATCTTAAGCATGTAAAATATATAAACACAATGTTAATGAATGATTTGCATGATAATTGACTATTAGATGAAGGGTGAAAGCAACGGAATGTCAATCAACCACACACAAAAATAATGCCCACTTCTTTATGAGCTCCTAAGCTTGCATCCCCACTTGAAAGATAATGTCCTAGAATTGCCCTGCATAAATCCCCATAGAAATCAATAGGACCTGATAGAAAACTGCTCTAGATCTTACTCCCCAGAACAAAAAATACCTAGACATGATTTGAATGAATGATACTTCTTTCCTCTTGACCGTAGCGCTCATCTTCTTGCAGTGACCTGAGTAAGCTCATCAAGACCTTGTGGATCTAGGGCTTAGGTCTAAAGATTTCATGTAGTTGCTCCTTCATGCCATTTTTGCAACCTGTACTTGATGAACCAGCATTATGGAGTTAAGAAGTCCACTCAAGGGTGGTCCAGCCTGCATAGATTTTTTTTTTGTGTTGCAGAAGGATGAGGAACACCTGGTCAACCCTTTATCCATCCAACATTTTTTTTCTGACGGGGCCTTCTTCCACGGGTGGCTAGTCTAGTTCTGCGCTGCTGCCTTTGGGTATTAAGGGAGATCCAAAATCCCCCTGAGTTCTAGTCATTTACACTCACATCATACAGTTACATTTAATCACTCAGCAATTGTAGTACCAAAACATTTAAGCAAACAACTTCACAAGTCCAGACTAGAAACTAGACCTCACACTAGCTTTCCCGCCTGCCTGCCTTTCTCGCATAAATGCCATTGAACCTGCCTGAAAATAAAAGTTCACATTAGTAATTACAAAAATTGATTTAATATAAACATCAGTATTATTTCTGCTAATTTTAAAACAAACTTAACAGGTATTAAAATTCCAGTCCAACTTTTTTCTTAAGCCTATAAATTAAGCTGTTGATGTATCCAATTTAATGTAAACACAAACACAAATATTAAAACGTGGGTTTGAATATTAAGAATGCCATTGATGCCATTTCTTAAAGTCTAAGTTATCTAATTATCTGCTTGAAAAAAACTTGGAATTCTGGCTGCTTACACATTTATTGGAATTTATATTAGGTACTCAACTGATTTTTCAAATCAGTCACACAATAATGGCTTTAGTTTGTTTTACATAGTACTAATGATTATAAGAATGGATACCAAATGTATGTCTATAGGACAATTAGAAAAAAGTTGTGCGCTTTAGAAACTGGTAGTTTTTTTTAAAACCTTTTTCTGCCTCGTAAGGGCCCGACTCTAGCACCAATAACCTCAAAATCTATAAACGCTGTACCCATTCATTAACTTAATTCTTTAACTTAAATGGATGGACTGAAGACCCAACTTTTTTAACAAATATCACAAGTTTGACATAAATGTTTTGTCTTAAGAATCGTACCTCACCATTTGCATCAACATTTTGAATGGACCAAAAAAAAAAACGTTATAATCAACATTCACAAAATTACTATAATTCTTCTATTGCCTCCACATTATTCAACTTTATATTGATTTGAAGAGGAAAACATCATTTATTAATATAAACTGAAATGAGTGGTTATAAATCATGCAGTTAAATGTCTAGGTTTAAGAAAATAAGGTGGAGCTGGAACTTGTATGCCTGAACATGGCTTTTAGTCAGTGTTATAAAACATTAAAAATTACTAGAACAATACATATATGTAAAAAAAAGCTATTTACTTAAAAATATGGTTAACCTACTTAAAAAATATTCTGTGTACAATAATTAAGTGTTAGATTGGTAAAGAACGTTAAGATGCACCATTTCTGAATTGAAATCAGGCAGTTCGGTGCACGGTCAAAATGGCCCGGGGCAAAACGGCCCGATATTATGACCCCCAATAAAACGACAGTCAAAATAGGCTTGTCAAACGGGCCCTGACTTAATGGGCTCCCGTCATAATGACTCACGACATATAGAATTAGGACATATTAGCTCCCAACCTATTGGCTCCAGACAAATGAATTGTATGACCACTATTGGCATTTTGTCATACCTCCACTAAAACTATAAACAAACAGCAATTAAAAAAAAAAAAAAAATCGAGCCCTTAACAGATCAAGTCCATACAATTATAAAATTTTGATGTTTAATTTATAACAGTAAAGATCTGTTGCTTAAAAGTGAGCGCAGAAGTTTAAATGTATGATATACATGATGTTTACAGAATAACGGCATTTTGTTTTGATAACCTACAAGCATACAGCAGGTAGGAATGTACAGCATGGAGCTGTCTTCTCACATGCTGAGTCGGAACAGTCTACAACAAACTCATTTAATAAAGTCATATAGGTAGAAGACCCTTAAATTTAAAACATGCTATTTCTTATACTCCATATAAAATTAAATAAGCTTGCTGAACAAGAGATGCATACACTGTATTATTTAAGAGTGTTGGCTAAGATAACTCTTAAGAGTATTGATAAAGGGGTGAAACTGGCTGGTTTTTATTCAATGAGGACGTTTCACCTTTTTATCGGGAGCCAAATGGACTGGAGCTTATTTGTCGGGAGTCAAAATTACTTTAGCCATTTTGTCGTGAGCTCAATGACTGGAACCCCTTAGTCGGGAGCTGAGTGGAGCCTATTTGTTGGGAGCCTATATGATGGGCCCCATATGTCGCTGGCCCATTTGGCCGGGTTTATTTGGCGGGGCTCTTATGTCGGGGCTGTTTTGATGCAGCACGACAGAGTTTAAAAGCGAGGACCTATTTTTGACTGTTACTTGTAGCAAATTACAACCACCAAATTGACTAGAGCCTATTTGTCGGGAGTCAAAATGACGTTAGCCTGTTTTTTCAAGAGCTCAGTGACTGGAACCCTTTAGTCAGGAGCCTATATGACTGGAGCCTATACATTGGGAGCCTAAAAAATGCGATCCAATTTGTCAGGAACCTATATGACGGGGCCCATATGTCACTGGCCCTTTCGGCGGGGCAGTTTCGACGCAGCACGGTAGAGTTTAAAAGTGAGGACCTATTTTTGACTATAACTTGTAGCAAATTACAACCTCCAAATGAAGAAAACATATAGACTATAATTTATCTAGCTGTTAGTTTGGATATTTAATACCGTTTTTATTGCAATTTCCTGTACTTTTCTCTCGCCACACTAACATCAAAAACTAGGTCACAGTGACCTTCTACAATTCAAATTTCACATTTAAAACTAGTTTAAAATTAAAAATATAAACTATTTTAATATAATCTCTTAATTATTTAACAGTTTTATTTTTAAATAATACGTAAGAAAAACTAGATTTCTATTGGAAGTTGTCAGGGATCTCAACCACGCCGGGCTTACATTTCCTTTGTAAAAATGTTGTGATCGCACGTCTGTACTCATTGTTCCATTATCCAGCTTGGCCATTCACATCATGTTTGATATTGTGGAAATATTTCCGCATTTACATAGAAAAATAGACGATCTTTCTATCCATGCTAGTCAAATTTTTGTATTGTAAGTAAATTTTTGTGAAAATTCAATTTTTCCGAGAAAATTTAAGAAATAAGCCCTTTTTACCATGATGATTTATAAATATTTTATACAAGAGTAAAGGTCATTCAATCCTGCATACGTTAAGCTAAGTTTAGTAGGCATAGGTCGCATTGCGCCAAAGCACAAAGCGTCAGAATGGGGGATGGGGTAAAGACAGGTCTGTTTTTGTCGCTAGATGTAAAAACAAACAACATATTATTGTATAGCTTTAGTTAAGCTTTCTAACCATACCATTTTATTACTATTCGCCTCATTTTTATGGGAGAACTTTGGTGTGGAAGGTAGTGAAAAAGTAACGAGAATAAGCAGAAACCTCGTTTTCTGATTTTAAATCATCAAACCTTAACTGTCAGGCTTCTAAATGTTCTTTGGTTGCACAGGAAAGTAAGGGCTAAAATTAAAGCCATTGGGGATTAATTTAAAAAATGAACGAGAGTAGGGCCTACTGATTTACAGGGTTAGTACAAATTTTAAAAAATGTAATTCAAGAATTTGCAGAAAAATTTCAGACTTTAACCCATTCAATCCCGGACACTCCAAAATATATTCTAAAATCCCAAAGGGAAATAACTCTGCAATTTACACTGGTTGGTTCAGGACAAAATTAATAGCAACTACCTTGCATCATAAATACAAGAAGTTATGTATTAAGTATTGTTTGCTCCACATGAAAGATTATCATTGGATAATTTTGTTTTGCAGTAATTTATGTGCCAGGCAATCAAATGATGTAATGACAAAAATGAGGAGCAAATATTTGAAGTAAAAAGTCACAAGAACATTTTTATTTTAGTTATAGATTGTTGTGAAGTACAGCAAAGCAATGTCCTTTACATAAATGAACTTCGCAAAAAAGGCATCCATTAGAGGTTTGTATGGGCCTTTTTGTGGGGGGGGGGGGGGGGGGGCACCACTACATGATGCCCCAGGGACTTGGCTTATTTTTTAATGTACTGCTTGAACACAAGTCTTCCAGTGTAGGCTTCCATCTCTTCATCAATAGAAATATCCTTCTCTGGCTTCAAACGTTGGACGCCGCTGGAGCATTTAGTAGTTTATTTGTAGACCAATAGAGTTTATAATGGGGCAACTTATGAATGTCAAACATAAAGTTTATATACATAAACAGTTTGATGTCTGCAATGTCCACAGGCTTCCATGTTGTATCTGGCTTTATAAAAGCCCGTTCCAATGCATAGCGGTTTTGTTTCAGAAACACAGTGTCCATAAAACTCTTCAGGAATAAATACTGAAAAGTAAACAAATGCTGTGAAAGAATCATCAGCATTTATTGTAGTGCATGGTCCTACATGTTGAAGCATAGCAGTAGATGTACCATGTACACATGTGTGATGGGCGGAAAACAGATCAACGGTAAAGAGGCACCACGAGAACCGGCAAGACTAGTTTTGTACGCCAAAACTAGGTCACGAGATGTGGCGAGACTAGCGATTGGATAGGCCTAAACCCGGTTCAAATCTCGCGACACACGAAAGAAAAAACCATGGGAAGCAAGATTTCCCGGTTTTTAAAGATATTTCCCGGTTATTCATCGAAATTCCCGGTTTTCACGACCGGGAAATTAAATCTTGAAATTCCCGGTTTTTTCCCGGTTTCCCGGCTGCGTGGGAACCCTGGAAGCTGTACCTCAGTCAAACTCGTTGACCGGCCTGGATCACCATCTTCATTGAATTGTTCATTCGTTCTTGGCCTAGTGCTTATCTTCATCACTAAAACACACATTGCCACTTTATTCATCATTTATTATTTAAATCTACATCAGACTCTATCATACTGATCAATATCCTTACCCAAATGATAGGGTCCAGAGCCATGATTTATCTAACTTTTTAGAAAATTTTAAAACTACGGTATCACCGGCATGGATCAATGCAATCGCTACTAAATTTGTTAGTTATCTCCCCTGGCCTCGCCCAGTCTCGCAGACGTGAGATTTATAGGCTACAGTTCCATTGCTATTTATCATCTCAGAGCCATATATTTTGCGGCCGGATTTGGCAGTTGCGGGATTGACACGGTAGCGGACGGATACTGCCGTTACTGGATTGAATGGGTTAAACAAGTGTTTTAGCGACTAATTTATTAAACAGTGTATTTGTACACTAATTTTAATTATAGTATAATGACAATTATTTTTAGCTAACATTTATTAATTAACTTTTCTAATGATGCCTCCCTCCAAAGCTTAATATTAAAACAATTGATTAACATAAAACTATCTTGTTTCCGACATTTAGCTAATGTAATTTATTATATATTTGCAACATTTCCAATTTAATTATTATAAAAATAGTAGTCATGTCACATAAATGGCGTAGATGATTCAACCTAGCGTGTTCGGAAATACTAGGCTACTTGCAAAAAGCATATTTGAGCAGAAATAAACATTCTGCAGGCCTTAACGACATCAATATACTCAAAGCTGAGAAACTGGGGTGCAATTAAAAATTGTCACCATTTTGTCACAGTAAGACTGTAAAATAGGTCATAGCATAGACTGTGATGTCACCTCTAACTTCCCCCCAAACAAGCAGTATCAAACACATACTCAATGTCAAGGTGAGTTCACACTTGCTTAGACTTCAGTGACCGTAGTAACAAGGAGGGGCGGATAAGTCTAGTCCTAATCGTAATCATTTGCTAAGATTTTAAAACTAAATTTGAGGTTCTGAAATTAAATGGAAAGCAGCGGGAACTGGTAGAATTGATAGCTAAATTTAACAGAAAATGGATTAAAAATAAATTATACCTCGAATACAACTCACACGCCACCCCCATAATTTTTTGTTTTGACTTCCTGCACGAACTTAATGAAAAGAAGCGGGTGAAATCAAGGTAAACATTTCCATGCATTATTCTTTCATTAAACATTTTTAAATACCAAACCCAGACAACAGCAATAAAAAAAAAAAGTCTTACACTCCCCTGCCCATCTCTTAAAGATGTAAATGAGTGCAAACCTGCTAGGTCATGAGTGTCGCACAGGTAAAAAATTAAAATACCCTAAAGAATTTTGTTAGTCGAAAAATATGGACCTTGTGGAAACTGTTTCTAAAATAAAATTCCAGACTTTTTTAAAAATCCAGCCCAAAACCTAGCAATTTTCCTGACTTTTTGAAGTATTGAATTAATTTTTCTAAATTCCAGACTGCGTAGAAAACCCATTTTTAATTTTTAAGTGTTTAAGCATGTACTAAACAAAAGAAAAGATTTGCTTTAAAATGCAACAGTATGTAAAGTGAAATAATGTTGTAGATACCTGAGAAAAATAAGGACGAGCACTGCTCATCATCGTCTGTTAAATCCACCATGCCCTCCATAACCATTACCTCCATTGTAATTGTTGCCACCATAACCTAAAACATTTTGACAGAAAGAAAAAATCATCCAGGATGGTCAGACAACAAGCAAGCAGAAGATTAAAGATTTTTAAAACAACTTACGTGGGTTACCAGGGTTGACCCCAGGGCCATAATTCCCATAATCATTGTAGCCTCCTTGCCACCCTCCTTGACCATAGCCTCCACCATAACCTGGTCCATATCCCCCACCATAACCACCTGCAAAATTAAATTTAATATTCTTTTCATTAAGCTGCCTATAATGTCTCTAAAGCTGTTGATTTAAAAAGCTTCAACAAGGGTAAGTATTAAAATATATTCATGTCAAGCATATGTATACATTACACCAAAGAAAACATGACCATTGTTTTGTTTTTTTTTTAACTTTCTCATAGTGTTGGGTTTAACTATTATATTACCAAAGCAGGTAACAGTTTACTTTTAATTTATTGTAGCATTGTTTATTTTGTCTTTCCTAATTTAATGGTTAACTATTCTATATAAATGCAGTAATTACATTAAATTTTAGAATATTATGATCGTTAAATTTTTTTATCGCTAGCTTTATTGAACTGATGACTTAAAATAAAATGTAGCCCCCCTTCAATAATAGTTTAGTCTAAAATTGTTTCTAGATCTAGATTCTTAATCTACTTAGAAAATTAGATCCCTATTGCTTTCATGTTGATATTTAGTAGTAGAACTATAGCTTACATTTATATCTAAAAAGCATTGAGTAGCCTTACTTTTAATATTCTACTTACAGAGCAAGATATTAGCATAAAAGAAAGTGGAAACAGAAAGAAAGGCCTGCCAAAAATATGTATTGTTTGTGTAAGCAACAACAGGACTCCTAAATACTTTTGAAGGAAACCTTACATGCACTTTGCTTATCTATATATACTAGCCATCGGTACTCGTTTCACGTGAATAATAGGCCTATATATTTTTAATGTTATACATATTTGGAAATAATCTATATATATAATTCTATTCTGGGAGCCGTTAGAAAACAAGCTGCAAGCGCCCCTTACAGTCCCCTCTCTTCCTCTCTATCGCTACGACCCCCATCCCCTTACATATTCTGGTGAGCTGTGGTTCACGCTGTCTACATTTTACAATCATAGAGACGGGTTTAGTGACGGCTATTAGGGGCAGATAATTTAGTTTGAATCGATTTTAAACTTACAGGTAACTAAGAGGAGGCTGCTTTCACGTGGGGGGGGGGGGGGGGTTAGTGTTTTTAAGCAAATATTTTCAGTGGCAGCATTGGTACTGTCGAATTCACAAATTATAAATTACTGAAAAGTAGAAAAAAAAAAAAACTAAATAGCGGCGTATGATACGCAGCGGGTTGGCTCGTAAATTATAAAATAGTTATTGATCAAAAATGCAACACTACACATTGAGATATTAGTGACAAAACAAATAACTAAATAGCTAAAAATCCGGCACATTTAAAATCACAGACTACCAATACGTATTCGAAAAATTAAAACCAAATTATATACATTATTAGTCAACAGAACACCGTATTAAATGCAAACACTGATTAAGAGACTTAAATGATTCCGTTAAAAATCTAAGTAATTTGTATTAGTTTGACCGATAAAATTGTATATATTTCATAGCGTACATCTTGATGAGTAGATCTATAGAACTATGAATCAAATTTAAATGAAATAGTTCCTTTCTTTATATTCTAAATCAATTACACTATCATCTCAGCTATTTAGGCACCTTATGAGACATGAAAGTTTTTTTGCATATATCTAGCCTAGATCTAGAATATTTCACAGGGGGGGGGGGGGGGGGGATAGGGTAGGGGTTGGGGGAGGGGGGGGGGGGGGGTATCGTCCATAATATTGTTTTAAAGCAAATATTTTCAGTGGCAGCATTGGTACTGTCGAATTCACAAATTATGAATTACTGAAAAGTAGAAAATAAAACAACTAAATAGCGGCGTATGATACGCTATTATTTATAATGGTATCTAAGTTGGTATGAAGTTATACAAGTCAGTATATTTGAAATTATATTTGAAAATCCTTAGTATAGTTTATAAATTTAGTAAAGTATAGTTATTTAATTTTTTATATATGTGACTTAACAAAACTCTCTTTTGCAAACTTTAATAGTTAAATTGGTCAACCTTCAACCTTAACTCAGTAAACAATTTATGGAGTTGGGACAAATGTGAAAAACTAGAGGAATATACAACTATATCATCAATGTATGAGTTGCCTTTTTTTGTTAAACAAAATAAACCGGGAGTGATCTCCCCTGATCTCTTGAATAATCTAATATAACACAAGGAACGGCAACTCGGGATATAGACATGATTTTTAATCCATTTTTAATTACATACACTTTTTAAAATAGAATGAAATCTCAGAATAAACTAGGAGTGATCTCCCCTAAACTTTCTCGAATATTCTTATATAAAACAACAGGGGATGGGAACTCGGAATATAGTTATGATTTAACTCTTTAAGCCCGTAATTATTTTCACGTTTATACCGGAATTATTTTTTTCCCCTCATTTTTTTCAGCACCACTGCGGCTAAATGACCCATATCTTTTTACCTGTTAATTTAAACACCACACATTATTGATTGAAATGAATCGTAATAGAATACCCTACACACTGATATAAACTTTACGGAATTATTTATTTATTGAAGAAAGGTAATTACTTAGATTTAAAGAAGAAAAAATAAAGAGTTGATTTTTTCGTGCAAAAATTACGCGTCTGTCGGGAAAATTAATAATAAGAATAACTTTTCATGAGTTCTTATTCATAGAAAACGAAAGTACGTCCATTTATCTACAAAAATCATGGATCGGATTAGTCTTAGTATAAATACTTTAATTTTCGTTAATTTTATAATGCGGCGACGTAAACGTTTAGACGCGGCCGCTGAACGGCAATCCGCAGTGTTAAAAAATGCAGTTTTTCGAGTTGTTTTACAAAAAAAATTCTATAAAATACATAATCGATGTAACGAGAAAACTACAAGAAGTAAATACAATGAAAAATGGCCGCTCTAGCATTATCATGACCTAGATTTACGATTCAAAACTTGGATTCTGAAAAACAACGAATTAAATAGAGACAATTTTATCGGACGCTGGGAGCGTCGTTACGGTATGGCAGGAAGGCGGACCGACCGCTGGGAGCGTTGTTACGGTCTTAAAGAGTTTACCCATTTTAAATACATAAACTTTTTAAAATAGAATAGAATCTCATAGAAAAAAGAATTGCGCACCAAGCGAACGCAAAAAAAAATGTGCATAATAATGCGGAATATTATTAGTAATTTATAAATTTACAAGCATTTTTTGAGAAGTCAGAAATAGCGTAAATTACTACTTCCGGTCAACGGAAATTACTCAAAAAATTTCTCAGAATTAGATCTTTTACTTACATTTGAAATTTCATTTATCCATCTGAAATAGTACTCAAGTTATAGGCTTTTGAAAAAATCAAAGTGAAAAAAGTACCACTTCCGGTTATCGGAAATCGCTCAAAAGTTGATATGGATCTACGATTTTGATAAAATACTTATATATGAAATGTCATCAACCTAGCTGTAACGGTACTCAAGCTATCGTGTTTACACACACACACAGACAGACAGACACACAGACAAGATTGCAAAATTATGTTTTTCCGTATCAGTGAGTTTACAAGGTTGCGATTACAAGACTTTCTCTATACTTCGTATATACGAGAAAGTAAAAAAGAATTGCACACAAGGTGTACGCCAAACTGAGTATAATAGCGCGGAATATTATTAGTACATGTGTTTTTTGATAAATCGGAAATAGCGTAAATAACTACTTACGGTAAACTTAAAATTTCATAGAACGCAGAGAATTAGATATGAGAAAGTAAAAAGGCTGTCAACAGCCTTAGCTGTAGTCCATTAAGAACATCATGTAAATTAAAGCAAATTTTAGAGGGGGCAGTGACAGCATTTTAAGGTAGTTAAGGAAATTTAATAACACTTGAACCATAAGTTAAGAAACAAATTTAGATCTAATAGATCCTGTAACCAAATGATTGTAGGCCTAAGTTTTTTTGTTTTAAAAAAACTTTGTAGATTGAAAAGAAAGTCATCTATTAAAGTAAAGTGAATTTTACCCCGAATCAAATTGTCATTAATAGCCAGACTGTGAGACAGTCACAACAAGAATAACATGAAAAAGTTGTTTACACTTACTCTTACAGCCCCACTGATCCCCCCTCTCACCAACAAAAAATTATTTTTTTAACCACTGCCAGCTACCTCTGACCACTAAATTACATTATTTCAACTTTTATTTTAGGTAAAATCTAGAGGTAGTGTCCATGCGAGATCACTATCAAGAAGAATAAAAAAAAATTTAAAATAGTCATAGCATATTCACATGAAGTTTACAAGCCTAGACTAAAGATTTCCCATTAATGTCATGTAGCTTCTTAACAAATGCATCACACACTGGCCATTAGCAAATTTTGTTGTTTTAACTAATAGTTATTTACACAGATCTAGATCTACCACTAGACTACACTGCAAGGTCACGGTAGGTTCAGCTGAAAATCTCAGGTTGCAGTGACCTAGCTGTAAGCAAGTCAGTCATGGCCAGAGTAGCATTAATAAATGTTTTAATCCAGCTTAACAGTTGCATTCTAAACATTACTGTCAGCTGATTCTGTTTACTAAGTTCATGTGTCAGCTAAGAAAAATAATGTAGCTGCGTAATAACGATTATATAAAATTCGAGGTTTACACAACAGTGGCTATTGTACCATCTATCCATGTGCGAATAGCAGAAAGGGCAGACATGCCTACCCCTGTCAGCCAAAAGTAGGAACAGTCTAAAAAGAGGGATTTGTAGCCAAAAAGAGGAATATACACACGAGTGCTACTTTACTAAGTCAAAAATAAAAATAATTAATTTAAAATTACTCTAATGGTTTAATGACATTAGTAGGCTACATAAAAATACAGCTTAATGTCAGCTTACATTAAAAAAAAGTTAACCAGTAACCTGAGACCCCCCTCCTCAATAAAAACCATAGCTTTGACTAACATTATTGATTTGATTATTTGTACCTTACTATGTTCTAGGCTATATGAATAACAAATGCTGAAGCATTCATCATTTGTAATGTAAAATATAAGTTAAGAGCTATGATCCTTGATCTACCTAGTCGTAGTTCCTTCTTACTAGAAGTTACTAGTTAAGTTACCAGCATTCACTATTTCAGTATCTACTAGTAGATCTAGTTAAAATATACTACTACTACTACTAGATCTACTTACAACAATTATCTTATCTAGATCTAGAAATTAGCGTGTTCATCAAGATTGTATTGTATTTTTCTCCCTACACGCTATTTAAGGCATAATTTAAATCTACAGTTCCATTGCAAATACTAAAAAGAACGTTCAGTAGCTAGATGGTCCACATTTATTAGTAGATGTAGAATCTAGATCTAGTATAGCTAGATCTAGTATTAGATGATACTTGTAAATATTGTCAGTAAATTAGGAAACGAAAACATATGCCAAAGGGAAATAATCGCTTTTCCCTGCCTTTTTTTCAATACACTTTATTAACTTTCTTTATTAAGTATTTTTTTCAAAAAAATCTGAACAAACTGAGTCAAAATCGGAACACATTACCTTACTAACATAAAGCGGGACGGTTCCGATGTTGGCGGGACGGTAGGCATGTCTGAAATGGCCATAAGCTGTAAAAACTGTCTTAAGTCTTGATAAAAACGATTTTCACATCTAAATTGGTCTTTAATTTGTTTAAGGGTCATCCATTTATGACATCCACATTTTTTTGGATTTTGGAACCCCCCCCCCCACTTCAACAAAATTCCAGTGTCTAAAAGTCAATATTTTTCGGGACGACCCCCCCCCCTCCCCGTGGACGTCATAAATGGATGACCCCTTATTATTCCTCCAAACCTGGATATTATAAAACTCAAATCTTGCAAATCCTGGAAAAGTGGCATCCCTGAAAGCTTTAAAACTTAATCCGTAATAAAAATTCTTTTTAAACTTAAAACTATTTTAAGCTGAAGACCCAGAAATTTTTAGTCTTAGGTTTGTGAATGCAATTAAGTAAAATGATATAGCACTGGATTCTAGAATTCTGAGACAACCTGGAGAAGTGGCACCCCTGTAAGTATTTTTATAAGGTACATCCAAATGTAGCCTTTATGTATAAAAAAACACTAAGTTACCTGAGTTAGCAAACTGTTAAAACTTAAAAGTATCAATTCTAAATTTTTTACTTTCTCGTATAGAGGAAGTATTTTAATTGTGCACTAAAATTACATGAAACTTTGACAGTTTTCACAATTGTATACCTCAGTACTTGATCATACACTGAGAATAGGGGGACTTATTTTAATCGGGCCAAAATTCTTAATCCAGATTTATTAAAATTTTGGTGTTTTACATGTAATCGAGTCGGAAAAACTGGGCTTTGCAAGTGCTTATGTTCCGCACTATTATAAACACATTGTTTGCTGTTCACTTGTGTGCAATTCTTTTTTTATCAAGATTCTATATTTTTTAAAATAAAAGTTAAAGTATTTTAAAAAATATTAAAAATCCTGTCTATATACCCAGTTGCCATCCCTGTAGCATTACATAAGAACATTCAAGAAAGTTTAGGGGAGATCACTCCCTCTTTATTTATATTAAGCTTTGATCCCATTTCTAAACCCATGTCAATAATAACTAGGCTGATGTCATTGCACACAAAATGCAATGAGACATCAGTCTCCTTATTTAGGATAATTGAAATATAGAAACCAAGAGGTTGGAAAATAAATAGCTCCAAGATAGAAAGTTTATTAAGATGTGAGTAGATTCAAATGGGAAAATGTTTTATTTACCCTTACCGCCATAGCCTTGTCCACCAAATCCAAAATCACCACGACCTGAAATTTTTGAGATTCAATAATTATGGTGAAATGGAAATGTTAAAGTCTATAATAGATATCAGAATGAATATTGTCAACATTATTATATTGGTATCCATCTTATGTTGTAGGTGGCCCATTTTCATTTAGGCCTCTTTTTTTTCTGCATTCATAATTGTAATGTCCGATTTGATTTCATCCAACCCAATTATCTGTCAACACTGTTATTTAGGCCTGCTTTTCTTTTTGGATTTGTTTCCATAACGTATGTCCCTCCAAGAACAAACTACAAGGCAACAGCTGTTTGATTTTTGAGTTTTCTCTAGGTTGTTGTCCCAAGCTAGGGAGCCTCAGCAGCTTGACATTCAGTTTAGCAACCATAAGCTTTACTGATCCAACCGGACCCCTATTTTTAGCCTACTATTTGGTCTGGCTTTTAGGGAATTGGTATATTTTAGATCCAACCACCTGCGAGGTCACATTAACTTGTTACTTAGGCTAAGAAATCAATGTACCAAGGACATCACGGTTGAGTATACTAGGTTAATGAATAATCAGAAACTAATTTCTTAAAGTTGTCTCAAATAAATTATTATTGGACAACAAACAGCAATTTAAGGATAAACTTTATGCTTATAAAAGTTTGATTACAATCCGCTAAATTTGGAAATCTGCAGATATTCTGAATCTTAACCTATATTCAATCTTAATCACAGACATGCCTACCCTTGTCAGTCAGAAGTAGGAACAGTCTTGCCTAAAAAGAGGAATTTGTAGCCAAAAAGAGGAACATATGCGCCGCTATGCGCGGGCGCTACTCAAAAAATAAAGTAAAAAATAAAAATAATTAATTAAAAATTACTCTAATGACATTAGTAGGCTTCTAGTCATATATAACTAGTCTCTAGGCTACATTTAAATACTGCTTATTAATGTCAGCTTACAGTTAAAAAAAAAAAAAGTTAACCAGTAACCAGAGCCCCCCCCCCCCCAAAATAACTACAGCTTTGACATATGAATAACAAATGCTGAAGGCTTCATCATATGTAATATAAAATACGAGCCGATCCGCGCCGTTATCATACGCCGCTATTTAGTTGTTTTATTTTCTACTTTTCGGTAATTCATAAATTGTGAATTCTACAGTACTAATGCTGCCACTGAAAATATTTGCTTTAAAACACTATCAGTAGCTCGTTAAGGACAATAACCACCTCCCCCCCCCCCCCCGCTCCTTTCCCCAACCCCTACACCCCCCCCTGTGAAAGCAAACTTCTCTTAGTTACCTCCCCTAAGTTTAAAATAGTTCAAACTACATTATCTGCCCCTAATAGCCGTCACTAAACCCGGCTCTACGATTGTAAACAATTATTAGCGGGGATTGATTAAGTGCAATGGCGTTGGTATTTTTAATACTGACTGGAAAACAGGCTTTTCAGATAATTACTGTTTGTCGAGCTCAAATATTTTTTGCCTAAAAGTTTTAGTTCATGTGATGGAAAATGAAATAGATCTAGACCAGATGAGCTTAAATTAGATGGGGTCTACTATCTATTTTAAACATAGTTTTGGAATTAACGCAAGAAAAAACATTTGAGCCATAAAAGAACCATCTCGATAGCAACCAAGCGGCATCATTACTCATGCTCTTTGTCTAATAGTAGTAAGACTGCTATTACTAATTTCCATTGGTAGTTTTCTCCCCCCCCCCCCCCCACCCCACTGTAGAAAGGTCACAGGGAGTTCACTTGAGGTCAAATTATAATAGGCCTAGACATGACGTCCTTTTCAGTGTTCCTTCAAAGAACAGGGACTTTAATACTGACTGTTTTTGGCAAATATTTAACTGAATACAGCACAAAATTTAGGTAAAGTCACATCCTTGAAAAATGTGTCGCACAAAGTTTGGAATTGTTTTTTTTTAAACTTTCCTTTGCAAAAAAGCATGAAGCTATTCTGCTCTTGACTAGGCATGTCTGCTTTACCCCAAATACCATATTTTCAACTTAAAAACACTTGGGCAAAAGCAGGTTTACAAATTTTAAGGTAAAGCTAGAATCAGGGGTGCCACTCATTTTTTAAGTGAATCCTGAAAATCAATCCCAAAATTTTACCAATCCTGAAACTAAAATTTGAAATTTTTAAAACCCTGAAACTTAATTTTGCGCAGAATTTCAAAATAAAAGACTATTATTTCATTAATTTTTGAAAGATTTGTTTCACATCATGTTCAATCTACATTCCTTTAACATGGATTTATTTTCTTTGTAAGCTGCTTCAAATGAAAATTGATATTTAAAGGATTGTCATACAACAAAATTAGTTTACAATGTTAGTCCCATCTCTAGGCCTACCCCATAATGTGTTATTGTAGAACTCCCCCATGTATGTAAGCCACAATACATAACACCCGTTTATGTTACTAATACTATGTTTATAGTATAGTGACAGTAGTCACACTTTGTTTTTGGATGGTAATAAAGAAATGTGTAGAAATATCTAAGTACTACTTTAGTAGGCCTGAACTTCAACAAGTGGTAGACCTACAATTAGGTACTCCAAACTGCCGAAAATCGAGGTTTCTGCTCATTTTCTTTACTTTTTCACTACTTTCCATCATTAAGTTCTCCCATAAAAATTAAGCGTATACTAATAAAAATGGTATGGTTAGAGAGCTTAACTTAAGCTCTACAATAATGTGTTGTTTGTTTTTATATTGGTAAAGGAAGAATACATGTTTTTTGTAGCTTGAAAAACATCACCGCAGCGATTTTTGTCGGCAAAATGACAGACTCGTTTTTACCCCTATCGCATTCTGACGCTTTGCGCTTCAGCGCCACGTGACGTATGAATTCTTAACATAGCTTATCGTACGCAGGCTTGAATGACCTTTAGTCTCGTATAAAATGTTAAATTATTTTAGTAAAAACGGTTTAATTCCCAAATTTTCTACCAAAAATTGAATTTTCACCAAAATTCACTAAAAATACAAATTTTCTACTAGCATGGTTAGAAATATCGTCCATTTTTCTATTTAAATGCGAAAATATCTTTACAATAGCAAAGATGGCATGAATGGCAAAGCGCGATAACGAAACCATGTGTAACTTCTGTCCGCAGACGCGATCACGAAATTTTTTACAAAGAAAATATAAGCCCGGCCCGGATCAGACCCCTGACGTGTTTGAATAGAAATCTATTTTTTCTTACGCATTATATCACAATAAAAACAGTTCAATATTAAAAAGAATATAATTAAATATGAAAATATTTAAGTATTTATAATTTAAAACTAAACTTTATCTGTAAAATTTGAATATATTTAGTAAAATGTCATGCTGACCTAGTTTTTCGACCAGCAACATTTCGAGAGAAAACTACAGAAAATTGCGATAAAAAAACGCAAAAAAGAACTGATTATCCGATTTAAAATGTCCAAACTATCTGCTAAATATATAATTCGATTAGTCTTTACAGTTATGGGTAAACTTTATCACCCTGTGTTTCTTTTTTCTTCATTTACGGGTCTTAAATTGGTCTCTATTTTTAATCTTGGCCCGATTTTTATCCTGAAATCGTGCATTTTTATTAACATTTTTCAGCGATCTTAACACTAAATTATTTTACTGAGAATGTTTCTTTTTAAATGTAGATTAACTGTAGTTACAAATAAATAACTTTTTCTATATATCCGTAAAGTTTTAGTAATTCTTTCTCAATTTTAAAATAGTGACTTAAAGCCGTGTTGAGGTATAAAATGTTCACCCCCACCTCATTTCCTCGAATCTGGACATTTAACTGCATGATTTATAGCACTCAATTTAATTTACATAATTAGGTGACATTTTCCCTTTTAAATCGATATAAAGGTGATTATTGTGCATGCAATAGAAGAATTCTAGTGGTTTTATGAAAGTTGGTGATTTTTTAGTTTTCTTCGCCCAGTCAAATTTTTGGTAAATATGGTGTAGTACGATTTTTAAGACAAAAAATGTTGATCTTTAACTTGTTATACTAATTTTTAAAAAAATGAGACTTCAATTTATCTACTCTTTTATTGGAATGAAGTTAGAGAATGGGTATAGCTGTTATAGATTTTGAGAAAATCTGTGCTACAGTCTGGTTCTCATGAGGCCGAAAAAGGTAAAAAAAAAACATATTTCTTAAGCGCATAACTTTTTTTCTAATTGTCCTACAGACATAAAGTTGGTATCCATGTTCTTAGAATAATTAGTACTATGCAGAAAAACCAAAGCCATTATTGTGTGACTGATTTGAAAAATCAATTTGGAGTACCTACTACAATACAAATGTACAGTTGTATGCCTGCTGTTATAAGTATTTAATTTTTTAGAACTTCCTAGCTTGATTTAAAGTGTGAAGTCAGTCAACTGTTAAGTAACAAATATTTTGCTAACCTCTAAGTGTTGTTATTGAATAATAAGCCCGTTATATGCATGACCCATGATAAGATTGTCACTACAGGGTTGACTTACTGTAGTTATTCAGGGCGTTAATTATTAACAGCCACATAAAACATTAACATACATAAAACAGTCTTTTAAATGTTTTTCTTTTCTTTTAATAATATCAAAAAGCTCCATCCACAGCCTCACCCATCTGATACAGCCGATTTGTATTTGAGATTGTCTGTGACGTCATTTGCTGTTAGTTTTTTTTTTCACGAACGTAATAAATAGGCCTAGTAGTATTAGGAAATCTTGTTGGTTAATAGTTAGTCTAGATCCACCACTATACTATACTGCAAGGTCACGGTAAGTTAGGATAGACTTAGAAGACCCTCTAAGGTCGCAGTGACAAAAACGTCTGCTGATGTCGGGTAGACAAAGGCCACAAAAGTGACAGCGTAACAATGTTGACTCTAGGTTTATACAGAAGTGGATATGTACCTTCGACGCATGCGCGAAAGGCGGAAAGGGCCGTTAGCGAGTCTTGAAGATAAAACAATTTTAACCATGAAAAATTTTTAAAGCTTAAAACGATCTTAATTTTTTTTAAAACTGCAAACCCGGAAATTTTCAAACTCAAATAACCCTAACCCAAAGGGAAAAAATATGATTCTCAAATCCGGGATATCCCGGAGAAGTGGCACCCCTGGCTAGAATGCTCAGCATTGGAATGATAGTAAAAACTAAATACCTCCACGGCCCATAGGCAGACCCATTCCCATTCCCATGTTCATTCCTGGCATTCGACCACGAGCATCCATTTCACCTTTGGCAAAGGCTTTTTTCACCTCAACTTTTCTTGAATTTAAGTTGACACGTTTCTTCACTGAAATAAAGCAAAAGTATTGCTCTCCAAACATGAAATAAATATGCTATACTTTAAAAATGAACTTGGTATAATTGAAATTACTGAACAGGTATGTGTAAAAATAACTTACAAACACACTTATCAACAGAATCATAGTCCTTAAAGGTAACAAAACAGAAGCCCTTGCTTTTTCCTGTGTTTTTGTCAGTAATAAGGTCAACAAGTTCAATGTCACCATACTCTGAAAATACATCTCTTATCATGTCTTCTGTTGTATCCTCTTTTAAGCCACCAACAAACATTTTTTTAACAGTTTGTTGATTGTTAATGCTGGGATCCTGAAATAAATACCAGTTATGTTAAGTAACTTGTCAAAGAAAAGTAATACTATTTGTTATTTTTAAAAATATATGCTTACATCTCTTGGCATTGCTCTTTTTGTTTCAACTTCTCTGTCATCAATTTTGTGTGGCCTATCCTTCTGGACATTGTCTACGCTGTCCTTGTCTTTGTATGTAATGAAACCAAAACCTCTTGATCTATATTAAAAAAATATAACATTTAAATCAATGTGTATCGCTCATTCTAAACTAGGCCATATTATTCTTTCATTAACTTTCACTGAACCACTTTCATTAAAAATAGATTTAATTGAAGTTTAAAAATTTTAATGTTTACAAATTGATAAGCTTTCAGAAATCTAACTTTACTTACATAATATTAGAACAGAACAAAAGACTACTACATAAACAAAAGTTTTAAAAAGACAGGGATGCCTGTCATTTTTAAGTGAATCCCAAAATTTTTACGATCCTGAAACAAACTTGAAATTTTTTAACCCTGAAACTTGACGTCGGAGGAGTAATATTTATAAAATTAACATTTTATTGAATCAGGACATTGGACTCATAATTGTACAATATACTGTCCTTCAGTAGAATTATCTATGTAACAATCTTTAAAAACATAACACAAAACTTGCATAACTATTACAACCAGTTACATTATTCAAACCAGGATTGTAAAGAAACGGACTAATTGTGATTTAAATCTAGCTGGATCCTTGTAGAATTTTTGAAAAAGTGTTACAAAAAGCATTTTTCTGATATCATAACCAGACATGCCTACCCCTGTCAGCCAAAAGTAGGAACAGTCATGCCTAAAAAGAGAAATTTGTAGCCTAAAAGAGGAACATACCCGTGGATGCTACTTTACTAAGTCAAAATTAAAAATAATCAATTAAAAATTACTCTAATGACATTAGTAGGAACTAGTCTCTAGTCTAGGCTGGATTTAAATACTGCTTAATGTCAGCTTACATTTAAAAAAAAAAAAAAGTTAGCCAGTAACCAGAGACCCCCCCCACACCATACATTTGACATAACATTATTGATTTGATTATTTATGTTATAATCTATAGGAATAACAAATGCTGAAGGCTTAATATGTAATATTTAAGTTAAGAGCAAAGATCCTTGATCTACATAGATTGTAGTAAAAGTCCTAGTTACTTCCTACTAAGTTCGTCATAATAGTAGTTACTAGTTAAGTTACAACTGACAAGAAAGATCCGTATTCACTATTTCAGTATCTACTAGTAGATCTAGTTACAATTCTAGATCCAGTAGTAATAAATAGTAGATACACTACTAGCTAGATCTAGTATTACATGATACTTGTAAATATTGTAAGTAAACTAGAAAACAGAAACATATGCCAAAGGGAAATAATCGCTTTTCCCTGCCTTTTTTTCAATTTACTTTATTACCTGTCTTTATTAATTTTTTTTCTTCAAAAATAATCTTAACAAACCGAGTCAAAATCGGAATGACAGAACAAATTACTTTTTGAGGTGAAAAAGCGGGACGGTAGGCATGTCTGCAAAACCAATGTATACTCCCAGTGACCCTTTGAATTTGCCTTTTTTCTGCCACAAATATGTATAACTTATTTAGAATTTGCATATTTCTTGAATATCTAGATCAAGAAAGATTTTTTTAAACACTCATGATTTAGGTGGGCTGTGTTTAGTTGAAACTTTTCTTCTAGCATATCTAGAAGATCCACACCCTGATAAATTTATAAACATATACGCTCTCAGTGTATTTTATGGTTTAAACCTCTGGACTATTTTTCTTGAAAAAAGAGTAAACGAACTTAAAATTTTGTTAGAGCTATCATCCAAGCGCAACTGAAATTATAATATTTATCATTAACAGCGGAACGTTCACAACAGAGACCTAATGACTCCCATCTGCGATGACATTGGACATATTACACAGCTTAAATGCAAAACAAACCAGATAACAAATGTTAACACGAAAAACCAACAAATTTACGCTAACCAACATTTTCAGATGATTAAGACAACAACGTAAGCTTTGCTGAACAGTCATTCTGTAATCTGAGTGTCGAACTAGAAAAAACTGGTGCCAATCATTTTTTACGCGACAGTTTTATCTAGCAGAAATTAGTAACTATGTATTATCAAAAGAACTTTGAAACATTACCGTTTACTGTTTGGATCTCTCATGACTATGCAGTCAACAATTTCACCCCATTTTGAGAAATACTGTTTTAGGCTATTTTCATCAGTATCAAAGCTGAGACCACCAATAAACAATTTTCTGAACTGTTCAGAATTTGGGTCAGGATCACCATCACCACCTCCATAACGATTTTGATTCCTAAATCCGCTGGCTGGAGGACCACCATAACCTCTCTGTTGGTACTGTAAGGTTTGAAATCAAATACATTACAAACAATGAGAACAATTATTGAAGTAACAGGAAGGCAGATATGCTTATTAAAATAATATGTAATGTAATTAAAATTATCTTAAACCGCTTTAATAATTATTTTAAAATATACCCATCCAGTAATTAATTTTTTAGTATCACAGGGACTACTTTTTGGGATAGCTGTTTTAAATAGTATTGAAATGGATTTAGGATATACTATTTGCTGGTGAACAAAAGTAGAAAATCCTACATAAAAAAGGAATTTGAAGCAAAAAAGCCAAAATAAGACTTTCTGAAATAAGCTCATTCCATGGCAGCTCCGGCTACAGGACATTACCCCCCCGTATTTACCCCCCCCCCGGAGCTATTACCCCCTGTCAATTACCACCCCAGGGAATTACCCCCCCCCCTCTCAAGTCAAAATCCTAACTCTAACTAGAATTTTATACCTATATACTACTTTAATCCAAACCTTAAGAAAAAGACCAACACCTAAGCATCCACCTTAGCCTAAAACTTCACACAAAACCAAAACCAAAGCTAGACACAACCCTAACCCTAAAACTAGCTCTAACCCTAACCCTAGCCCTAAAACCTAACCCTAACCCTGTCCGGGGGGGGGGGGGGGGGGGGGGGGGTAATGTCGGGGGGGGGAAATATCCGGGGGGTAATTGACAGGGGGGAAATGCCCTGTTCCTGGCTGCTCCATATAGTGAAAACATTAAGCTGAGGGAAACTTGCCTACCCGTCAATAGTATAACCCAAACCGTGAAGTAAGCAAGTAACAGTCAAAATACCAAACTTGCTGTAATAATATATTTATAGAGTTGGGTGGACTCTGGTACGGTATACTGACTTGAACCCGGATTCGAACTAGAGACTAATAGGTTAGCCGTCCAGCTCTCTACCGCTAGAATACTGTTCCAGAATACTGTTGATCTAAATAAAATGCTATTCCAGTCTCCCCCCCCCACGACAGTTTCATCTAATATAACAGGTGTTGACCTTGAGCTTAATGATGCATAGCCTACACATTTATATATCTATATGAAATAAAATTGTATTTTAGACAATGCTTGTTCAGTGGGCTTATTTTGGTGTACACATTTAAATTTACATTTATTTTACACAGATATATGTATATATATACACAAGTACATGTATATATACACAAGTACATACATATACACAAGTACATATATATATATCCTAATCTATAAAAGCCCATGTGCGCACTGCTTTCTCTCTATGTCCGCAACATTTTTAGGCGATGTGATTGTTATGTTCAGCGATATATGGAGAACTTGAAGATACGACTATTGTTGAAAATAATATGGTGGATGTTATAAATGTATTAACTAAATTTTATTTAAAGAAGGAAAATAAAAAAGTCATATTCGAATGTAGAAACACATTTTCAACTATGCAGCCGGAAAAGTGTTTATTGTCATGACAAGAACACAATAAACAATGACGTCACATGCCACATGTTTAAACTAGAAGAGGACACAAAACTAATGGTGTTGATCTTCCAATTGTAGAATATAAAGAAATGAACTATTTCATTCAAATCTTATTTAGATCTACTTATCAAGACGTACGCTAAGAAATGTATACTATTTTCTCAGCCAAGAGCAATACATATTTTTAAAATAACACGAATACCATTGAACAGCCGAGTTTTTAAAGGAATCATTTAAGACAATCAGTGTGCATTTAAAATGGTGTTGTGTTGACTAATAATGTAAATAATTTGGTTTATCTAATAGGTATTGGTAGACTTATTTTAAATGTGTCGGAATTTTAGATATTTAGTTATTTATTAGGCTCCAGTTCCATGACGTCATGTAGATCTATTGTATGGATGGCCCACTACTAAACCAACAAGCAAAACTGACATTATTATTGATGGTTATTGTTTTTCCCCTCCAAAATTAACTGCGTTCACCCGGAATCTGTCCTCAGTCCACTGACGTCACGGAACGACGCGTTGACCCAAGGTTGACTGATGTACATGAGCTTTGAGGGTTGGGGTTAAGAAAGGTGATGTAGTGTACCTATGAGGATAAGGGGAGGGGTAATGAGTCACGTATGGAAGATTCTTTACGGTAGTTTATTATGAAGGATTTAAAACATTAACGTTGTCAATGCTCTGTTCTGATTGTAATCGCAGTTCTGTCTATATGAATTATTTAAGACTAATGTTGTGGACTTCATGTACCGTGAGTGCTAACAAAATTAGCATCTGGTTCTATATCCACGGGCGTTTATTTGTAGAGCCATTTTGACGAGAGATAGAGCTGTATTGCCGGTTGTCGTGAGCATTAATGACGGAAGTCATTGTCACGTCAATTGATGTGGGAATAATTCATTAATGACGGGAGTCATTGTCACGCACAGATTGACGTGAGTTATCATGAACAATAATGATATCTCGGTTTTGTCCGGAATTTTACTAAGTTTATCTTAACCCATATTTTGCTAGCGTCCCACTTATGGGACGCTTGTTAAAAAAATTGCTAAAATTTATTAAAAACTAGTTAAAACAAAAATTATGTTTCATTGTATTTGAAAATGGCTAGACTATTGAATTTGTATGTGTTTTGTGAAAAAAATTAATTAAGAAAAATGTTATAGTGCCGGATTTGCAGGACTTGTCAAAATGGCGGAAAAAAGAAAACATGCGCACAGGAAAATGCATATCTTCTAAAATATTAGCATTTTAAGTGCAAAATACATTTGAAACTTTTAGCAGTACCATATTTCTATTTGATAAAAATTAACAACTTTGTTATATCGTGTACAACAAGCGTCCCATAAGTGGGACGCTAGCAACGAATGTCCCCATGTAGATTGTTACACAAACGTCACACTTATTGGACACTAGCGAGAACACAGATGCAAATGTTTATGTTAAATGGTTATTTATGGTGAAACAATTGTTGACTTTGTTAACTGCTGACTTTGGGATGTTAAGTAGTATTTATAGATATTTAATTATGACCTTGACCTATATTTATGCAGATTGTTACACAAACGTCACATTTATTGGACACTAGTGAGAAACACAGATGCAAATATTTATGTTAAATGGTTATTTATGGTGAAACAATTGTTGACTTTGGGGTGTTAAGTAGTATTTATAGATATTTAATTATGACCTTGAGCTATATTTTCTTATATATTATTGTATTAAAAAATTGCAAATATTGAAAAACTTACATTTTATTTTTAAGTTTTCAGAATTACACTTACTGAAGTATTTAATACCATTGAATACAAACTAATTTGGTATTGCTGTAAATTTACTAGCGCGTGATATTAAAATTATAACAAACCAGAATAATAACAATGGCCACGATTTAGGTGAAATATTTAGTCAGCGCCTCTACCTGAACACCTCCGTAACTCTCACTTTGAATAGTAATAGAAATGTTATTTGAATGTTTTATACAGAAACAGAATTGGCAGCAAATATGTCCATTTATAAGTCCATTCATATCAAACTTTGATCCATTGAATTACCCAGTAGGATATGAGCAACTAAAAGCAACCCGTCATGTAGGCGGCTTTTTTTATGTTGCCGGGACAAGCGAAGCCTCATCCCGTCATAGCGTCTTTTTAAAAAATGTTTAGTTTTTAGCGCAATTTCCATACTGGGATTGCGATTATTAACTCGTCATTTCTGGATGGATGCGTGTACGCAGCCTTTAAGTCGTATCTCCTCCTCAACGAAGCAATATCGAGGACTAGTTCCAAAAGCAAATATGTTAAGCAAGTTCCAAGGATGAACATAGGAAAAAAAAATTTCCGGAATTCCTTCCTGGATTTCCCGGAAAAGCCAAAAAACCTCGAAAAAATGCAGTTTTTGGCCCATATCTCGGCAACCAGACCACTTAGCGACTTGAAACATTTACCAATCGATTCCTGCCATAATTTAGAACAATATTGCTGAAGAAAGTTTTCAAAAATATCCTTGGGGTTAGGGGTTCGGTCACAAAATTTTTTTAAAAGTGCGACAACTAAACACCCCCTACCCGTCCGCATTATTTAAAATTACATTATACATAATACATTACAGTACTATATAGCAAAGAATGCAGTGGAAGGCGAAGGACCTGGCTGGCTTAGCAGCGAACTGTACGAGACGCAGGCGAAGGAGGAGGAGCTATGATTTATCTCGATGTAAAATTGTTATGGATAACATAAGGAAATTGCGCTTAAATTGTCACTAGACTTTTAATTAACTTGTTTAAGCTGAGCATCTTGTAGGCCTACTCGTTAAAATAAAACTATTTCCGTTGTTATAGGTTTGTATAGTTGTCTTTTTTTTTTACTTATTAATTCAAACGTTATTTTTGTACCCTATTAATTTATTTGTAATTTATATGAGAGTGATAGGGAGTTACAATTACAAGGTTTTGTTTCGCTAGGCCTAATCATTTTTTTTTAAATTAAGGAAATAGCGCTTAAATTGTCACTAGACTTTTTATTAACTTGTTTTTCAGAAAAAATGACCTGAAATTGAATGGAATATGCTACAGAACATATGTTTATAAAAAATGCTTTTTTCTTTACTAAATACATTTTTTTGGGGGGTAGTCGTAAGGAGGATGAAAATTTATGTGTTTTGCCTGGACCCAATCACCTATATTAAACCATAACACAGTAATAACTCTAGAATTTATTAGAAAGAGTTATCTCCCCTATTATTTTTTTTCCAATTGTTTATAAATTATTTTATTCTTGGCATTTTAAAACAATCACACACTGAAACACAAAACTACACACATAAAATATTAATAGTACAAGATTATTTATTCATCTGAGCTGAAAAAAAAAACAGCAAAAATATGACTTGGTCGGATGGAGGAAAGACCAGTCGTTTGGAGGCAAAACCGGGAAAATTGTATTCGGGTCCAGGACGACTGGGTCGTCTGTTTCGAGGGCATATATTTAAAAGTTATATTGCTGGAGAGTATTTCTATGCTTTGGTTTTCATTCTATGTCAAATAGTAACGGAATTAGGTGTCTCGAACCGGAAAGGAGTCTCCGTTTCGGGAGAATGTTTATACCGGTGTCCGATAATGGAATCTTCTTTAAAACAGGGGTGTTAGGTTACTGGTAGTTAACTAAATGCACACATGGCTGGGTAATGGCAATGCTAACCCTGTCCCTAACCCCAACCCTGGTCCAACCATACGCCTAACCCTAATTTCTAACCATAAAATTAGTCGAGATTACAATACTATTACAGTTACTACTAACAACCCAACACACCTTTTATAAAGAAGATTCCACTATCGGACACCGGCATGTATAATCATTCAAAAAATAATAGGGGAGATAACTCTTTCTAATAAAATGCTAGAGTTATTACTGTGTCATGGTTTACTATAGGTGGTTGGGTCCAGGCAAAACACATAAATTTTCACCCTCCTTACGACTAACCCCAAAAAAATGTATTTAGTAAAGAAAAAAGCATTTTCTATAAACATATAGATCTATGTTCTGTAGCCGGTAAAACTCCATTTTAGCGTATTTCATTTCTCCGCTGCTTGTTTACCTCCAGTTGAGCGTATTTTATTATAACAACCGAAACAACCAAAACACGATTCGTTTATTTGTATTGTATTTTTGTTTTAACAAATTAATAAAAATGAATAAAAAAAATAAAGAGAGTGACTTTGTTTTAGATTTTGATAATTTAGTTTTGTTAAAACTTGAGAAAAATCCAAACTTAGAATATTGAATGTGCAATGTTCGTGTGTCAGAATTTTCATGGCAATGGGTGAAGTACATAAACGTAGCTCACAATTGCAAGGCGGTTAAGTTTGTATTGTTACAAGTATCTCCCAGGGCATGATACTATAAATAAACATTAATGAACTTACAATGATCCCAAAACTGAGGCCAACACACAATTTCAAATAGCAATTGCCCGAGCTATGACGTATGCTGATAATTCAATGTCAATGTGAGCTCACAGTGAACCCGCGACCGTGTAAGGATTTTTCTCCCGCTGACGATTATACGAGATTCGATATTTAATTGGAACAGTTCTAATGCTTTTTATGTTGTTTTTTTTATCTTTTCTAATTAAAAATCACATTCATTGAAAAAAATAAGTAGATCTAGTGTTTTTCTGACGTTTTTGTGTGTTTCGGTTGTGTTTATAATAAAATACGCTCAACTGGAGGTGAACGTGAAGCGCGGAATAAAATACGCTAAAATGGAGTTTTACCCTGTAGCCTATCCCATTCAATTTCAGTTTTTCTGAAAAAAAAATAAACGTTTAAAACAGATGCTAAGTCGGGAGGAGGCTTTGCTTGTCCCGGAAACAAAAATGGCCGCCTACATGAGGGGTTGCTTTTAATTGCTCATATCCCACTGCGGGTAATTCAATGGATCAAAGTTTGATATAAATGGACTTATAAATGGACATATTTGCTACCAATTATGTTTCTCTATAAAACATTCAAATAACAGTGCAATAATTAGTAATTAGTATTCAAAGTGAGAGTTACAGAGTTGTTGTTCGTTTCGAGGCGCATAGTCGGGCCAGGCAGAGTTACTCTAGGTACTAGATCTAGAGATTCTAGACTCTTCTAGATCTAGTCTGTGCTAACCCTACACATGCTAACACACTAACCCTAACCCTTAGTGACGCCTTAGTCATAATTAAATAATTATTAATTAATGGCAACCAAACACCTATTTTAAGAGTCTATTGTCGGGCTATTACGAGTAGGCCTAATACTATACTTTCAAGATGTTAGATGTAAGATTTATTTCTGAATTACTAAAGTAATTAGATCTAGAATCTAGATCTAGTATTTTCTTAAAGTAATAATAAATAAGGTCAGCATGTTCTTGAGTGACCTCCCCGACGCGGTAAGTTGCAAACAATATGGCGACGACCTCAAGTAAACCACGCGTGCAGTAGTGCAGCATTCAAAACTTAAGATTTCTAAATAAATTTCTATTCCCAACAAAATTATTGCTAAATATAATATGCTCACTAACTAAAAAATGCAATGCATATTCTTTTTCAAAAGAAATACTTACACCCGGCATGGTTTTAAAAGATACAATAATTAGTTATTCAAAAAGAAGCGACCCTAAGAAATGACGCCAGTTGTGAAAGAGGATTCCTATACGGGCTAAACGTGGATATTCAAATGAGATCAAGAAATTGCTCCAAGTAAAAATTGAAAATCTGGGAATATTGGTTGATAGCATAGGCCCCCTAGGCCTAGGAGGCCTAATTACAAAGGTCCAAGAGGCATTTTTTATGCAGATTGTTAGGCCTACCTTCAGGCCAAGCTCTTTAATGCCAATATTTTAATAATAATCAAATAAAGGCATTATCTTTTTTAAAAATCATATTATAGTAAAATGGCCTAACGCTTGGCCCATCACACTCTAATATTTGAATCACACAATTATGTTTCTACCTAATTATTAATTAATTTTAGATTCAGTGTTACGATGAAAATGTGAGTTACCGGAATGGAGTTTGAATCTTAGAAGATTAACTACCAACACTGGCCTTTTTTACCTGAATATGTTACAGAACCTATTAAGTTTGTTGTATTGAATACGATTTTTTTCAAAACAAATAATAATCACTCTTAATGTAAGTTTTATGCCTAGATCTAGATATCTAGATCTGTATCATATCCCATTTCTTTAAGAAGTAGAACTAATAATAATAAAACAAAACGAAGGTTAATCGCTCACTTTAATCATAACACAAATGTATGTGGTCGTTAATGTAATATGCAAATAACTTTAACCGCGTGCAATGTGCTAGATATGTATTTCGTTTTAAACCCGTAGGCCTAAAGCAGTTTTTTCATAAATTCTAAATAAAAAAGAAAACACTTTGACCTAGGCTCAGATTTGCACCATTCCTAAAGTGGTTGTAGCTTCTCATTCTCGCGAGATTACCACAAATTATTATGCAGTACGCCAAGTAAGCTAGGCTAGGCCTACCATGGCTTGAATCCCGCTAGACCTGAGCATAGATCTAGAAACCTAGGAACAATTGTTCACAATATTAGTGGACTTTTGCTACGTTAGGTATCTAGATCTAGTGGGAGAATATTTACACCGGTGTCCGATTATGGAATCTTCTTTAAAAAGGGGTGATATCTAACTGGTAGTTAACTAAATACACACATGGCTGGCTAATGTCAATGCTAACCCTGTACCTACCCCAACCTTGGACCTACCACATACGCCTAACCCTAATTTCTAACAATAAAATTAGTCCAGATTACAATACTACTAACAAACCAACACACCTATTTTATGGAAGAATCTATTATAGGACACCGGTATCTATAATCATCCTAGACTACTATTTAAATAACTATAAAGAAAAGCGTGGGTGTCTTCCTTAACATTAGTAAAGGTGTCCAATAAATACTAAAGTGACCCACGCTTTACTTAATAGTTATTTAAATAATAGTCTATAATTTATTTTCTACTTTTTAGTGCATTATTGCATAAAAGCTTGTTATTAAAACGTTTTTTTATGAATTTTTTAAAATTACTTAAACTTTTTATAATAGAATAGAATCTCGTAAAAAAAATAATTGCACACCAAGTGAACGCCTAATAAAATGTGCATAATAGTGCGGGATATTATTAGTACTTTATAAATTCACATGCGTTTTTTTGTGTTTTTTTTTTTTTTTTTGAGAAATCGGAAATAGCGTAAATTAGTCCTTGCGGTCGACGGAAATTACTCAAAATTTGATAGAAGGCAGAGAATTAGAACTTTTACTTACGGGTGAAATTTCATTTATCTATCTGAAATAGTACTCAAGTTATAGGCTTTTTGAAAAAGTTCCACTTCCAGTTATCGGAAATCGCTCAAAAATTGATTCGGATCTACGATTTTGAAATCTATATACTACTAAAACTCAAGTTTGTTTACATGTTTGAATATTTATTTGTTTGTTTGTTTGTTTGTCTGATCGATTATTGTCAATGGTTCTGTTCATCGTGGACAGCTGTAAAATAGTATGTAGGTAGAGAACAATTTTTGTTTTAAGACAGACTGTTAATCACAAATTTATTTAAAGACGTTAATTAATTTATTGATTTATTCATAGGTAGATTAAACACATTTTTTTTAAAAGATTAAAAAAAACTACTAGACTCGACGGAAACAGTGACGCTTTATTCCTACGTATCCGACTACTTCGACGTACGAGACAAGACTAGCATTTCTAAGGTCTGTACCTAGTACAGGCATCCAAAAAAAACAAAAAACTTCTACATTGTTCCGAATACAGTAGGGTATCACATTACGTGTTTTCGCAAATTTACATACCAAGCTTAAGGTGGGAGGGATGGCTCCCTCACTCAAGTCCACCCATCGCCATCCATTTCAAACAATTACCAGGCGACCCGTACTAATTTTCCCTGCACACGTCGAGGTGTGACACTAATGTCTTCCTATCGCAGTTCAGGTGGGTGATAACTCACATCAATTGTGGTCTCAGTTGTAACAATCAACAATGGTGAACTTTGACCTTTAGTTTTTCCCCAATTTAATTCAACAAAGAATACCTTACCTATAACTTTTAACCTGTGGAATATTTCATAGAACTTTTGTATCACTAAAGACACAACAGGCAAAGATACTTAGCTTGACTGTCAGCAGCACTCAAGAAATATGGCTTAGAGATTGGTGAATGTCGAGGTCAGAGATATGATAATGAAGCTAATATGAAAGGAAAACGATATGATTATATCGTCGTCATAATATTAATTCGCTTTGAGAAGAAGAAAAAGCACCACTTTTACAAATTGGAGGAAAAGTTTTCGAACACTTAGAATACTAAATTCGTACACTATTTCCCCGAATTGATACAGCCTTACTGTACATGTTGAAGACACCAATGATATATATATATATATATATATATATATATATATATATATATATATATTGTTACGATCCCAAGGGATCTTTACCTGTGTTTGGCCCCATCGAGGAGGGCCAGGTAATTAAAATGAAATGCCTAGGCATGTTAATGCACTGGCAAGTATAGGCCGTGAGAGTCTAGGGGTCTTGAGGCAGTTGACGGCCATACCACGGATTAGGTTCCACGCGGTGGGCGTGGCAGAATTGTAGTCTTTGGGACTCGGCTATTAACGTGGCCAACAGTCCGTGATTTACGGCTGGAAAACCTTCCAGATCGGAGGGGGCCTAGTGGATGGTCATGGACGGATCTGACCTAGGGTCAGCTATAATTAAAATTGTTCCCACGGTGAAGCACGGGGGACGAGTACTTTAGGAGGGTAGACGGCAGACCAGGGGGACACGGAGACACACGGACACTCACACACTCGGAGACGGACGGACTCGTCTCGGATAGCTAGGTGTAGAGGAGACAGACATGGGTCGTCTCTGTGGGCTAGTGGAAAGCCACGACATGTATTAGACCTAGGCTCGGCTTGATAGTTAGGGACAAGTAGGGCATTCGAATGAAGGACTTTAGTTGTTGTAGATAGTTGTGTATTTTTCTTATTGTGTTCCATGTGGTGGCGGGTTAATTTTAAGTGTTTTAATTTGTGGCAATAAATAGAGATCACTGAAGTTGGCATTTATTTATTTTTATTTTCTTCTTCTTGTTTACGATTCCCTGACTAATTCGAAAGGATTAGAGAAGGGGGTCGTAACAATATATATATATATATATATATATATATATATATATATATATATATATATATATATATATATATATATACAAACACAAAGTACGAACACAAAATACGAACACAAAATACTCAGTGCTAGCCTGTTCGGGTTTTGAATAATTTTTTATTTTTCAATTGAAACAAATTACAACAACTTGGCATGTGTGTAAGTGCATTAGTAAGTTTAGAAAATCAGTTTTATTATCTCTGCTACAAATCTCTTAACTTTATTCTAGTCGGTCAAAGGAATATAAAACATAAAAGCTTTGTATGAGTAATCGTGTCTTGTGTTATGTTTATTTTTATGTATTTATATTATTAATTATAAATACATTTCCTTTTTATACAATGTCATTCTTTGGTAAGTAAAACAATAATAATTAAGAGAAGTAATTGCTTTTTTATTTGTTTAGGACAAATCTATTAAAAGGAGCTTATGAGCACCCCTATTTGACAATTTAAAGAAGGGAAATAAGTCATGGAAGTGATTTGAACGTTTGCTTATCTTTGATAAGTTTGATTGTAGGAGAGAAAGGCCTCGACCTTTCACAGTGGTTTAAAAACAAAGAATAAAACAATATACAAGAGCGTGGGGTGGTGTCTATAGAATAAAGATAATCTAAGCGCAGCTACGGTAATCTTTTTACAAAACAACCATCAAGTAAAAAATGCAAGAACTTTTTAAAAAATTTAACTACAAAAAATGTATTATGGTCGGCTTTGGGCCCCTAAATGACGTGCCCCCCCCCCCCCCGCATTGCGGGGTCTGGCGGCACTGTAGTTCCGCCCCTGGCTTTAAGGGATGACGACCGATGATGCTAAACGGATTTTACCCTTACTAGAGCCTTCAAACAAATTGTAAGTACCATTTTTAAAGTTTCATTTCCATTTTAATAAATAAATTTTACGTTTTAATGTTCGTTTGGTTTAATTAGGTTTAAATAAGGTAACTAATGAATATGGCATAAATAAGAATATATTTTTGCAGATTGTACTAAAATACTAAAGATAATTGAATATTTAAAAAATGTCATTAAATTAACGTTTGAAAATGATGTTCCAGATTATTTTCAGTCATTTCCCTTTCATTTCTATTTGTATTGAAATGTATTGCCTTCATTTAAATTGAAATAAAAGACAAGCAGGCGGCCCACTGTCATACTTATATTAAACAAGACAGTTATCATGTATATTAAACAACAAAGTCAACACAATATACATACGGATAGATATTTTTATCAAGGGAAACTACTCTAATTTTTGTTGGGAAAGATGGCCGCTGTTTTAGTTACTATTATTGATCTCAAACATCTTGTTTAATGTTAGTTTCATGGAATTTTAAATTGTTTTAGTCATTGATTGTTATTTTCAATCGATTTTGTAAAAATCAATATTTTGTAAAATTTGACATAAATATACTTTAAATATTAGTATATTTTAATTAAGTATTATAGATAATTGAACAAAAGATCACCATTGATCATTTGATGGTTAAATCAATTTAAATATCCTGAAATTAATTTTCATCAACCCTGTTTGAGATAATAAATTTGCTATTAAAAACAGCAGCCATATTAAGAAAATATTATTTAGAGTAGTGTCCCTTTCATTTCTATTCGTATGGAAATATATTTAATTATGATTGTCTTGTATTTACATCGGCCTGCAAAGCATTTTTTTTTATTTCTGCCTTTTCTGACTGTTTTATTAAAAATTACTTCTCTTTACCTTAATTAAACACCAACCTCCATCATATTTTCGTTGTCAATGTCTCAAAAAGTCATAATGTAAAAAATTACGTTTCACTCTGCCTTTATCTAAGTCTCTCGCCATAATTTTGACAAAAATAAAGGTTTTTCATTTTTACTTTTTCGTATATACGATGTATAGCGAAAGTCTTGTAATCGTGCAAAAAAAAAATCGAGATTTTTTCAAATCTCGACGTTTTACACCTCACTGATACGGAAAAACATAATTTTGCAATCTTGTCCGTATGTATGTGTGTCTGTAAACAAGATAATTTGAGTACCGTTAGAGCTAGGTTGATGAAATTTGATATATAAGTATTTTATCAAAATCGTAGATCCGTATCAACTTTTGAGCGATTTCCGATAACCGGAAGTGGTACTTTTTTTACTTTGACTTTTTCAAAAGCCTAAAACTTGAGTACTATTTCAATTAGATAAATGAAATTTCACATGTAAGTAAACGATCTAATTCTCTTACCTTCTGTCAAATTTTGAGTAATTTCCGCTATTTCCGATTTCTCAACAAACAAAAAAAACGAATGTAAATTTATAAAGTACTAATAATATTCCGCACTATTATGCACATTTTATTTGGCGATCACTGGTGTGCAATTCTTTTTTCTGCGAGATTTTATTCTATTTTTAAAAGTTTAAGTATTTAAAATGGATTAAAATTCATGTCTATATCCCGAGTTCCCATCCCCTGTTTTTTTATATAAGAATATTCGAGAAAGTTTTGGGGAGAGCGCTCTAATAGACAAAATGTATTATCCACCATATTCCCTCGTAAAACATCATCTAAATTTTTCAGCCACTCCACCCTTTCAGTGCGTGTTATCTTATCCCAAAGCGTGTTATCTTATCACAAATCTCTAGTTTTCAAATTAAACGTCATGGACGAGTGATGGATGGGTGAGGGCTGTTTAATTGAACACCAACATAAGTAATAAAATTAAACGTGATGGACGAGTGAAGGATGGGTTAGGGGCTGTTTTATTGAACACCAACATAAGTAATCAAATTAAACGTCGCATAAGTGTCAAAACGGCAGTTCTTGGTTTTTTTTTCCACCCCCTTAAAGTTAGCTAAACGGTCGGCAGTACCGGTACATGACGTCACACGCGAGCGTTAACTCTGTGACGATGTGCTAAGTGGGGGAATGAAAAGGCGGGGTTCTAGAAATACGACTCAGCATGCTTTTTTACGTTTCTTGACCCTTCTTGATAGTTCTATCGTCCCCACTGAGAAAATGGATCACCAATGAATGACGCGTCATACTTCTACAGCTGGTCTTTCTCCCACAACCATACCCAGTTTAGTTTCACCAAAAAAACCTGACCCGTCTCAAAATCACATCGTTGAATTTTACTCAACATCTCCCCACCACAATTTCTATCTAAATTAATATGTTCATCATTATATTTGTTCTGTAATAGTAATAGTGTACGCTGTCATAACTATCTTAACCCCATAACGTCGCTCTTACGCCGTAAAAGCGCCGTCATTTATGGGCTATCTAATATTGATTTGATTACTGCAAAAATGTGTCAAAAGTTCGACCTCCCAACAATTTTTTGTGGTCTAGGATGCACACTATTAAGTCTGAAAAGGTCTATTATTAGTCATTCATTTTAAATATATTGAAAAAAAAAAAGAAAAATTACTTACCATGCATATATTAAAACAATACAAAGCCATATTAAACCACAAAATCAACACAACAAACATGCGAATAGACAATTTTTCAAGGAAAACTACTCTATTATTGTTTTTGAAACGTGGCCGCTGCTTGTATTTACTCATCGTTGTCACGAACAGGGTAGTTTAAAGTTTATTCCAGAATATTTTTGACTGGTTTGGTCATGGATTGTGATTTATTATTTAATTATCTGTTATATTATGTAAAATATGTCATGAATATGGCCAAATGAAAGAAATATTCATTACTATTCACGTTGGAATTTACGAAGCTAAACTAAGGTTTTACGGGCGTTGGGAAATTGCGAGACGCGAAAAGCGAAATGGCGAGGCGGGAAAATGCGAGAAGATAATGCGAGACATACCTGCGGAATCAATGGTAAATAGCGTGACACTTTTTGCGAAAAAAGCTTTTTTCATCTTTATTTATTTAAATTATTATTTTTAAAAAAAATAAACTAGCATGTAGCCATACCCTTTAACACGAATGTTGTATGTTGTTATTTTTTACCTAGATATTATATATATATATATATATATATATATATATATATATATATATATATATATATATATATATATACTAAGAAGATAGATAGATCTAGATCTATTAAAAAATCCTAACATCGTTGCTGTGCTACTGTCATCGCCCGCTCTCTTTAGCGAGAGGGAAATCCCGTCTCAGTCGACATAAATTTTAAAAATCTAACCCGTATAAAAGTATAAACAATTTAAAAAAGTGTAATTTATTTTTTTATTAAGTAATTTTAATTACAAACAAAATTTACAAACAAAATCTTCTGAAACAGTCCTAGCACTAATCAAACACACATCGTCACACAATCTTTCACACATAGTACATCCAACCCAGTTCATTAGACTCCCATTTATACTGTGCTAACACAGAACACGAATATGAAGATGGGGGGAGTTCACAAATCATCAGTATGTCTAGCGACGGAAAAATCGGAAGTTTTAAATGTAAACGAAACGTCTTTCAAGTCTGGACCAAATACCACTGAAAATCGAGTGCGGTAAATTTTTCGCAGAAGTCACGTGACCGACCGTTTTCGCCTCGCCATTTCGCTTTTCCCCACACCCAGGTTTTACCCGGCACATTACTACTGCCGCCGAATTGATTACGCTAAAACGATAGATTACCTAATTAGATTAGATGCTATTGTTTGACTTGATCCTCTTAGCTCCTTATGGAACATAGGGCCTCCACCATTTCTTCCGATCCCCGGCTATTAATTTTGCCATCTCCCAAGACATCTATGTTGGCTTCAGTTCTTCAAGAAGACTCCGCCTCCAGGTCTGTCTTAGGCACCCTCTCTACCGCTCCCCCTAACCCTAACGTTCCACTCAAGCGCTTGGCGTGTAACATTTGGGTGAGCCTTTCGCAGTGTGTGACCCACCCAGCGCCATTTTCTCCTTATTTGCTACTGTTTACTAATTATTTAAAATATATCAAATGGGATTGATGAAAGGGTAGTATAATCGTATTAATAATGTTTATCTAGACTATCACGTCAAAATTATGAATCGACAAATTCAAAATGGCCCCCAGACAATCCCAGCAGAGGCGTATCCAGGTTTTCGGTGTAGGGGGAGCGAAAATAGCAAAAACAAAAGGTGCCGAATTTGTAATATTTCCTATATACATGTGTGTGTGTTTTTGTTTGCGTTTCGGTTGGTTGTAGTTAGGGTTCATTTGAAAAGTAATATATTTCCTAAACCCGGGCAATACCAGCTTAATAAACACACAAGTCTTTGCCCTTTACATATAGGTTTTTCACAGAGGCTAGTACACGGCCTGGTCAAGTATTTATAAATATAATTTATAAATAATACCTCTTTTAGCAGTATCTCAAAAATCTTATACCTGTTCAAGTAGGCCTACAAACTAAAAAAAAATTGTTATGGTTCATTAAAATCAGTGGCGTAGGCAAAGGTGGGGGGGGGGGGGGGTTAGAACCCCTCCGATGGACTCACACCCCTATATATATGATTTTATACATGTGGAAAAAATATTTGAACCCCTCCCATGACCAATTCCTGGCTACGCCACTGATTAAAATAAACCGGGAGTGATCTTCCCTAAACTTTATCGAATATTCTTATATAACACTAAGGGAGATGGCACATCACGATATAGACATGATTTTTAATTACTTAAACTTTTAAAAATTGAATAAAATCTCGTAGAAAAATTATTTCACACCAAGTGAACGAAAAACAGTATGTGCAAAATAGTGCGGAATATTATTAGCACCTAATAAATTCATACGCGTTTTTATTTTTTAGAAATCGGAAATAGCGTAAATTACTATTTCCGGTTAACGGAAATTAGTCAAAATTTGAAAGAAGGCAGAGAATTAGATCTTTTACTTACACGTGAAATTTCGTTTATCTATATGAAACAGTACCCAAGTTATAGCTAGGCTTTTGAAAAATTGAAAGTAGAATAAATTCCACTTCCAGTTATCGGAAATCGCTGAAAATTTGATACAAAACTACAAATTTGATATAATACTTATATATGAAATTTCATCAACCTAACTGTAACGGTACTCAAGTTATCGTGTTTACAGATACACATACACAATTGCAAAGTCCAGTTTTTCTGACTGGATTACGCATAAAACGCCAAAATTTTGATATATCTGGATTTATAATTTATGCACGATTAAAATAAGTCCTCTAGACTCCGGATGTGATGAAGGACTGAGGTGTAAAGCGGTGAAAACTGTCAAAATTTCATGTGATTTTTGTGCACGATTACAATACCTTCTCTTAACTCTGTATACGGGAAAGTAAAAATAAGCTACAGTTGATTAAAAAAAAGTATATTAAGGGTTGGTTTAGTCCTCCTCTGGACTAGTCAGATGCTTTATTTGATTATGTTTTAAAAAGTCGTTAACAGGTGAAGGCATCTATTCAAGTTTTAAATATTCTCGAATAAGCTTTTCAGCTTTTTTTCTGTTAGCCAATTTGGAAGTTTTGCCTCGAAACATGCTTTTGCTGGGAGCACCTTTGCCTTCAAACACATCACAAATCCTAAATTAAAAAAAATAGAAGCGTATTAGCAGAAGGTAAGTATTGAATTGCGTCAATAAGATTACAACTTCAACTTGAAGGCACAACTAAATTAGTAGGAACAAAACAAATTTACTACATATGACAACAACTAGACTAATTTCAGCGAGGGAATAAAGCTTACTGTTTCCCTAAATCTTGAACTAGGTGGTCGGGTCCTGCAAAGACAAACATTCCTCCTTCTTTGTCGTCCCCCACTGTTATCAGTTTGGGAAGATTCTTTTGAAACAGTAAACATTCAAATGAGTTAAAATTAATAAAAAGATCTTACAATTTGGAAGATTCAATTATGAGGGAATCAATCAACCTAATTATAAACGGATAGCTTTGTTAAAAAAAATTCTTATCAATTATAACCAATATGATCGTATTATAAGCACCAGTTTAATTTTGTGCTAAAGACATTACGCAAAAGCTTGTTAATGCAAGTTTTTAAATGAATCTTTTAAAAATAAACCAGTGTCACCTTCTCTCTTGGCAAAAGTGGGCTTCCGTTATAGTCATTACATTGTGTATGTACTTAACTGGGATAACATTCACACTTACTCCATAATCGATTTGCACACAATTTTCTCTCCAGCAATTGAAATGTATGCTCTGATCATTTGTGTTGCTCACCAGTGACCGCTAGCAAAATGTTATCGTCGGATGTTAAAAACCAACAGTCGCCATTGTTAGCAGCAGCATACTTTACATCCATTCTTTGAATTGCAATTGGTCGTAAAATGGTTTTTCTTTTCACGGTGGTTACAAGTTTGACCCCATACCAACCAGGAATTGCTCCTTCATAATAATGTGGTGTTGTCCACAATATGTACACGTAGGTCTGTCTATCGAATAACTTTTACCGCCTCGATTTGACATTGCAAACCATCCTTTTAATTCACATTACTGTCCTCATAAAATGATGTCCACCATTACGGTGGTCTCAATAATATTGATTGCATATTTTTACAAGGTATATACCTAAGTAACTACTAACTATTATAGTTCTGATGAACGTCTGATGTTGTAAGCATAAGGGCAATTAAAAGTCAAAGAACCGCTATCCCTGCGCAGTGACGGCAGCATATAATTCAATGTTCTTTTTTTAATTTTTTTTTTACAAAAGTTTAAAGGCCATTAGCTTTAGGCCCCGTAACCACACTATAGTAAGCCTACATCCAATTAATTTTAAGAAAAAAAAAACTAAAAAATAACCACGTTAAAATTAGATGAATAAAAGCGCTTGTAGTATGTGCTCACGGTCAGCGCAACCACGAATCTAATAGTCTAGGTCGGCGAAAAAGTTTTCCGCCGTTTTTCTTTTATGCCGTAAAACGGAAAAGTTATATCTCTGCTGGAGATAATCTTATAAAGAACCACGTTGGTTAAGCCAAGCGGTCGTACATAAATGACGTCACATTAACGAGCCGAATTTTATCCCAAACTATATCGTCATTAACAGCTGGGCAGCCACAAACAAATGGCATAAAAATTCGGTCTTTAGCCCCACCCACGTCTCCAATAATTTTTGTTTTCAGCACTGCCTGCAACTTCAGAATAGCTTCATGAAAAAATAGTGGGTAAAATCGAGAGGTACACAGAGCTTGATCAATCTTTCAATAAATAACTTATATATATATAGGGCCTAGCTAAAGCACATTCACACGAACACAGTTTAAACGCCGTATACTAACTATTACGGTGACCAGAAAGATGCGCAACGGAAAAATGTACACAAAATAATGCACAACGGAAAATGCGCGAACAGAAAAATGCTCAAACAGAAATTAGCTTACACAGAAAAAGGCGCTAACAGTAAACTGCGCTAACAGTAAAGTGCGCTAACAGAAAAATGCGCAAATAAGAAAATTACGCACACAGAAAAGGACACAGATTTCTCACACAATTAAGAATATGACAATGTGTGTTTACGCTTCATGTTTAAGTTGGTATGTTTATTAATATAAATATATTTTTTTTTCTCATTTTTGTATAATTTAAAAAACAACAACAACAAAATACCACCGCTCTTTCTAAAATGCATAGAAACATAAATTGCTAAGATTTTCCGATTATACATTTATAGATGCTGTTGACCGAAGTTGCTTCGACCATAGATTTTTGGCGGACACGTTTGAAAAGAGTGAAGGGTTTTTCACAGGCAGTTTGTAATCACGAATATGAACAAACGTGGTTTGTACGACTACGCCTACACCACATTGACCATCGACCGACAGACCACCCGCCGGCCTGTCCGTCAGTTCTCTCCATACTCTCTCTTTCTTCACCGCTAAAAAAAAATTCGCCAGGGGGGGGGGGGGGGGGGTTAAGAAAATAAGGGCACTAAGGAAGAGTTTGTTAAATTTATACGTAAATTCGGTACTGTACCAAAGTCAAAATCACAGGGAGTCTTGGAGGTGGGTGACTGTGGAGCAGAACGAACAACATTTTTTTTCTCTAAGAATTGTATCACAGACTGCGGTCTCTAGAACACTCAAGTCACCCATTAGTAAGGGTCCCTGCTAGTTATTACACGAGCTAACCATCAGTCCATCCTGGTTATTTTTAGACATATGTTCAAATAGAGGTACTGATATCTTTGTGTACAATAGCACATCTCTCTTTTAGTTAACAAAAAAAACTGTTATTCCAATGACAATAGAATGTGCATGATATCTAGATGTATTGACGGACGTATGGACAGACAGACAGCCAGGTACACAGGGTGGATTAATTATTTGGTCCTTTGGTAGGCGGTAGTTGTCAGTATACGTTTAGCTGTGTAGGTATATAGGTAAGTGTAGGTGCAGGCTTAATCATGCAAATCACCAATGGTCAAATCACATGTGATCAACACACGCGGACAACAACTGGCTGTCTTCAAAAAACATCTATAAAATAATAAGAAAACCTCAGCAATTCATGATTCTATTTATTTTAGAAAGTGAGTACGCATTCATTATTCTATAAAAATAAACAGACATTGGAATAAAATATATCTGTCTATGTATGCACATATGCACGTGAAAACTCAATCATGCACGCATAACCACACACACATTGCCTTAATCCTCATTGGTGAGGATTATGTGCGCAGTTTTTTTTTAATTTGCCTGTTTTTCTGTGTGTGCATTTCTCTTTGCGCATTTTTCTGTGTGCGAAATGTTCTGTTTGCGCATGTTCTGGCTGCGCATTCTTCTCTTTGCGCATTTTTCTGGGAACCAACTATAAGACATCCCAGAATGACATAGACTAGTTACAGAGTGAACGGTATTTGTATGTAAACAGTAAAACTGTCATAAAGCAGGAGGGCAAGATGCGACCACTGGAATATGGGTATCAAAAAGGAAAAATGGATCGGCTGATAAGATTTCGGACGTTTTTTTTTTTCATAAAGTCCATCGACGGGAAAGTATCGATTTTTATTTTCGCCGGAAACTTTTTCTCAGATGGAATAAGATAGATTTCCAAGGAAAAATTGGGTACTTACATCTCTGGGTCCCCTAAACTTGCATATAACTGTATGCTCGTACTTGAATCAGAACATCTTACGTGTACTTTTAACCCACTTTTTAATTTTATAAAAAATAAACCGGGAGTGATCTCCCCAAAACTTTCTCGAATACTCTAATATAACACTACGGGGAAAAGCAACTCGGAACATAGACAATATTTTAAATACATTTTTAATTACTTAAACTTTTTATAATAGAATAGAATCTCGTAAAAAAAAAGAATTGCACACCAAGTGAACGCCAAATAAAATGTGCATAATAGTGTGAGATATTATTAGTACTTTATAAATTCACACGCGTTTTTTTTTTTTTAGAAATCGAAAATAGCGTAAATTAATACTTCCGGTCGACGGAAATTACTCAAAATTTGAAAGAAGGCAGAGAATTAGAACTTTTACTTACATGTGAAATTTCATTTATCTATCTGAAATAGTACTCATTTTATGGTATAGGCTTCTGAAAAATTCAAAGTAAAAAAAAGTTCCACTTCCGGTTATCGGACATCGCTCAAAAGTTGATACGGATCTACGATTTTGATATATATATATATACTGATATATGAAATTTCATCAACCTAGCTAACAGTACTCAAGTTGTCGTGTTTACACACACACACATACAAGATTGCAAAACTATGTTTTTTCCACTCAGGGAGCCTAAAAAGTCGAGGTTTGCAAAAATCTGGGTTTTTTTTTGCACGATTACAAGACTTTCTCTATACTTCCTATGTACGAGAAAGTAAAGAGTGAGAAAAGCCAATTTTGTTGGAACCAATTTAAACGAAGTAATTATTTTTGAGGCTTGAAAAAATTGGGTATGTTCTATTGTGTTTGTTTTCATTTCAAAACATTGATCTTATTGATCTTATTGATCTTATTGGCAATGTACTTTTCCCGCCCAGACGCGTACTTTAATCATTAATCAGAAAAATTAAGCCTTGACCGTACTTTAATCATTAATCAGAAAAATTAAGCCTTGACCGTACTTTAATCATTAATCAGAAAAATTAAGCCTTGACCGTACTTTAATCATTAATCAGAAAAATTAAGCCTTGACCGTACTTTAATCATTAATCAGAAAAATTAAGCCTTGACCGTACTTTAATCATTAATCAGAAAAATTAAGCCTTGACCGTACTTTAATCATTAATCAGAAAAATTAAGCCTTGACCGTACTTTAATCATTAATCAGAAAAATTAAGCCTTGACCGTACTTTAATCATTAATCAGAAAAATTAAGCCTTGACCGTACTTTAATCATTAATCAGAAAAATTAAGCCTTGACCGTACTTTAATGATTAATCAGAAAAATTAAGCCTTGACCGTACTTTAACCATCCTCCGTAACAGTGAGGTAGAACACACCTCGACGACCATTCGGGTGTTGGGAGACACTCCATATTGTGGAATCGTAGGGTACTTTTTAACACGTTTTTAACACGTTTTTAACACGTTTTTCTTAACTCAGCTTCGCGTTTGTGGATGTGTGGATTTGTTTGTTGTTAAAATTGACATCGAAAATTAGCCCACTTCTGATTGCTCTAGAGACCTGAAATTTGGCATGCATGCTACTTTCGCCTAACAATTTCAGATGCAATCATAAAAACTAGCAATTAAAGACCGTAATTAGCTTAATTTAATTACGCCCAAAGGACCATAAAATTGAGGACATGATTTCTAAAGATACCGACAAGACTGGAGGCTTGTTGACACAGTTACTTCGGCCCCAATCGATGTGAGCGCGCTGGCCGTGATCGTATAGTGGTTAGTACTTCGCGTTGTGGCCGCGACAACCCAGGTTCGAATCCTGGTCGCTCAAGATTTTTTTAGTCCGTGTATTTATAAACACTTAGTCAATTCATACTTAATCAAGTCATTAGATAAAGTAGAAAAGAAACTATATAAAAAACTTTTTTAAAAACCACGTTTTTCATGTGTAGCAACGGACTAAAAAGGAGAAAATAAAATACTTAAAAAAAACTTTTTAAAAAACCACGTTTTTCTTGTGGACTAAAAAGTAGAAAATAACTATTTACATACATTTGATGACAAAAAACGTGGGTCGGGCAGATGGGTCGGGAAATTTGATGGTGAACGTACCCACGTTTTTTGTCATCAAATGTATGTAAATAGTTATTTTCTACTTTTTAGTCCACAAGAAAAACGTGGTTTTTTAAAAAGTTTTTTTTAAGTATTTTATTATTAACTCAGCTTCGCGTGGATGTGTTTGTTGTTAAAATTGACATCGAAAATTAGCCCACTTCTGATTGCTCTATAAATCTGAAATTTGGCATGCAGGTTACTTTCGCCTAACAATTTCAGATGCAATCATAAAAACTAGCAATTAGAGACCGTAATTAGCTTAATTTAATTACGCCCAAAGGACCATAAAATTGAGGACATGATTTCTAAAGATACCGACAAGACTGGAGGCTTATAGACACAGTTACTTCGGCCCCAATCGATGTGAGCGCGCTGGCCGTGATCGTATAGTGGTTAGTACTTCGCGTTGTGGCCGCGACAACCCAGGTTCGAATCCTGGTCGCTCAAGATTTTTTTAGTCCGTGTATTTATATACACTTAGTCAAGTCATACTTAATCAAGTCATTAGATAAAGTAGAAAATAAACTATATAAAAAACTTTTTTAAAAACCACGTTTTTCATGTGTAGCAACGGACTAAAAAGGAGAAAATAAAATACTTAAAAAAAACTTTTTAAAAAACCACGTTTTTCTTGTGGACTAAAAAGTAGAAAACTATTTACATACATTTGATGACAAAAAACGTGGGTCGGGCAGATGGGTCGGGAAATTTGATGGTGAACCCACGTTTTTTGTCATCAAATGTATGTAAATAGTTTTCTACTTTTTAGTCCACAAGAAAAACGTGGTTTTTTAAAAAGTTTTTTTTAAGTATTTTATTCTTAACTCAGCTTCGCGTTTGTTTGTTTGTTTGGATGTTTGTTGTTAAAATTGACATCGAAAATTAGCCCACTTCTGATTGCTCTAGAGACCTGAAATTTGGCATGCATGCTACTTTCGCCTAACAATTTCAGATGCAATCATAAAAACTAGCAATTAGTGACCGTAATTAGCTTAATTTAATTACGCCCCAAGGACCATAAAATTGAGGACATGATTTCTAAAGATACCGACAAGACTGGAGGCCTATAGACACAGTTACTTCGGCCCCAATCGATGTGAGCGCGCTGGCCGTGAACGTATAGTGGTTAGTACTTCGCGTTGTGGCCGCAACAACCCAGGTTCGAATCCTGGTCGCTCAAGATTTTTAGTCCGTGTAATTATAAACACTTTTTTAAAAACCACGTTTTTCATGTGTAGCAACGGACTAAAAAGGAGAAAATAAAATACTTAAAAAAAACTTTTAAAAAAAACACGTTTTTTATGTGTAGCAACGGACTAAAAAGGAGAACGGACACGGTAACACATTGTTAACGGTGACACGGTTGGTATGCTGGGCATGCTAAAATACACATAAACACGTTTTTCCTTAACTCAGCTTCGCGTTTATTTGTTTGTTTATGGGAGATTTGATCACGTGATTCGTGAGTAGATCTCCACGCCAGCAACGTAAATTACACCCTTTCTCTGTTTAAAGCGTATCGGTCGCTCAAGATTTTTTTAGTCCGTGTATTTAAAAACACTTAGTTAAGTCATACTTAATCAAGTCATTAGATAAAGTAGAAAATAAACTATATAAAAAACTTTTTAAAAACCACGTTTTTCATGTGTAGCAACGGACTAAAAAGGAGAAAATAAAATACTTAAAAAAAACTTTTTAAAAAACCACGTTTTTCTTGTGGACTAAAAAGTAGAAAATAAATTTTCATACATTTGATGACAAAAAACGTGGGTCGGGCAGATGGGTCGGGAAATTTGATGGTGAACGTACCCACGTTTTTTGTCATCAAATGTATGAAAATTTATTTTCTACTTTTTAGTCCACAAGAAAAACGTGGTTTTTTAAAAAGTTTTTTTAAAGTATTTTATTAAAGCGAATGTCGGCGCAATAGTCCTCACAGTGGAGCCCAGGTGGTCCAGGTAACTTAAACTTGTCATCTGATAGCTGGTCATTTATTTTTACATTGGAGACCTACCTCGTTTCCTAATGCTGCAACCAAAACACTCATGTAGTCATTGTCCCCATCTTTCCTGTCAAATAAAAGGTTTACACTTAAAAGAACTAAACTAACAGCAAATGATGCATTTACTTTGGGTTTAGTTCATAATAGCAGTGACCTCTTTTTTCATGTTTTAAAAGAAGTCTAAAATGTTAAACACCGGTATCACGAGACAGATAGGGTCAGACAGACAGACAGGTTTTTGACACTAATATGGTCAGACAGGTTTTTTACACTAATATGGTCAGACAGGTTTTTGACACCAGTATGGTCAGACAGGTTTTTGACACCAATATGATCAGACAGGTTTTTGATACCAATATGGTCAGACAGGTTTTTGGCACCAGTACGGCCAGAGAGGTTTTTGACACCAGTATGGTCAAACAGACAGACAGGTTTTTGACAATATACAGCCAGACAGGTTTTTGACACCAGTATGGTCAAACAGACAGACAGGTTTTGACACCAATATGGTCAAACAGACAGACAGGTTTTTGTCACAAATATGGTCAGACAGGTTTTTGACATCAATATGGTCAAACATGTTTCTGACACCAATATGGTCAGACAGGTTTTTGACACCAGTATGGTCAAACAGGTTTTTTGACACCAGTATGGTCAAACAGGTTTTTGACACCGATACGGCCAGACATGGTCAAACAGGTTTTTGACACCAGTATGGTCAGACAGACAGACAGGTTTTTGACAACAGTACGGCCAGACAGGTTTTTGACACCAGTATGGTCAAACAGATAGACAGGTTTTTGACACCAATATGGTCAAACAGACAGACAGGTTTTTGACACCAATATGGTCAGACAGACGTTTTGTCACTAAAGTCAGACCTGATATGAAAAGGCTATGTGAAACTGTTTAAAACAAATATCACCTGTGATGAATAAAAATGGTTTCCTTGTGTGCAGACTGTTTGAATAAAGTTGCTTCTAAAGTAGCAATCTCTCGCAGTTGTAAATTACATGTCTGATAAAAAAATAAAAAACACTATTTGAACACATTGTTATCAGTGCTATAATTCATTCAGTTTATTTATCTTAATCTATATATACTAGCTGCATCCCGTGCTCCGCCACGGTTAATCTTTTTTAAATGTACCAACTTGGGAACAGAACAAAACTAAACACAACACAAAACGAACGCAAAAAAAAAAAACCCGAAAAAAACAAACATAACACTCATAACATAAACACAATTTAAATGCAATAAAAAAGGCATATTGCTCACAGTCTAGCCCGTAGCGCCAAAGCGCGCTCTTTCCGAGCGCCGCCGGACGCGTCTGACACAGTGAATGACTATAAAACAGAGGCGTAGCGACCCTTTCCGGCGCCCGGGGAATAACTTTCGATTTGACCCCCCCCCCCTCAAACTTACAATTTGGACCCCCTCTCCTCAAAATTTCAATTTCCACCACCCCCCTCCCCCGCAAATTTTTTCCAACCCACTTTGATACCCCCTTAGGTCGGCAACCGGGTACATATGTCCCCCCCTCTCTACGCCTCTCCTATAAAACCCCCAGCAGTATTTAAAATATCCGTGTTTTACCTACCATATTATATCACTTTATCAATTCACGCATTTTTTTCCCCCAGTACTTTAAATTTTAAAAATTTACAATAGTTCCATAACTAAAACCACTGCGCACCCAATGAACGTGATGACACGTCTATAATAGTGCTTAATAGTTGATTAAAAATTATAAGTAGTAAACATTACATTCAGTGGATAAAATAAATAAAAGATAGCCTTTTATCAATCAATTCTAATTATAATATTCCAACAATAATGTACTCTTACACGTCTGCATAATTTGCATTCACATTTTGCTAATTATATTATTCCAACAATTATTCCGTCTTGCAGATTCTCCATTCACATTTTTAGATTGAGTTCAATTTATTTTTAAAATACCTCCCTTGGCATTATTACTAAACAGTTTAATTAGATTTTCTAACCAACAGTTATTATGTTATTAAAATGTATTCACTTTTTCTAGGAATATTAACGAAAACGATATTTGACATTGATCCTTTTAATATGTTTTAGCAATGTGCGTGTATTTAATATTCTCTTGACATTATGCAAAATTGTACAAACAGTGGAAATTATAAAATAGCTCTATGTCGTTATATAAACAAACCCTACTCTATTACTTATAATAAGACAATGCGATGCACTGCAAAGCACTACATGGTGCGATGTTTACTTTTATGGTTCCAAAATCTATAGCGATGACGGAAGGAAGGAAGTACTTTATTAAAAATTATCTATCTATTTATCGGCAGTGTGCAATTTGGAACCCAGTGATATTCTGTGAGCATTATGGTGCCTACGTTCGTTTTAAACAGTG